ATTATAAATAATACATTTCAATAAAAAGCGATAAGTATTAACTTATCGGTTTTTATATAAATTAAGAGCCCTTTTATAAAATTGCACCGCTGCCATACTGATCGGCGCGTAGGTAGATTTGCATTGCATTTGCGGGTGCATTTTACGGGTGATGTTTCGAGTCTTATAAAATAATTATTAATGAACTTATTATAAAAATATATACGTCTTTCAGTAGTTCAAAGTTATTGAAAGTAAATTCTATTTAATTCAATATCAAAATACGAGGTAAACCTGCTTTATTTTTTGGGAAAACTCACGGAGGTTAAATATTTTTTTTGATAATAAATAAGATGGAAAATCAAAATTCTAATACATTATATGTTACAATAAAAACAAATTTCTGATGTCGTCGTAATTCATTTCATCGTTGATCTAATTTATTGAACATTATTGAGAGATTGAGGCGTTTGAAGTTGTGCGTATTATCGTTTTTCCGTAAACTAGCTGCAGTAGAACGATCAATACAAAATAAGGAAAATAATATTTGCAAATATTCTACAATACAATTACTTACAATAGGAAGAATAAATCTACTGTTTACTTCTATTGGAAATAATCAAAATCTTTTCTAAGGGGGTAAGCGAGGCGCTCAAAAATTACGATTTTTTGCAAAAAATCTGAAAGGGCTCTTAAGCTTTCTTACCATTATTGAATGAAATAAATTAAACATTATTATTTTATACTGGTTTTATTATTCTGTATTAGGAGTATATACCTTATACAAAACTTATTATAACAGTTATAATCATTTGTAGCAAGGTCATATAGAGCTATTAAAGTTTTATGTAAGTAAAACTATATCAAGATTCTTTTTCCTATTAATGCCATGCGGTGAAATTCGAATAGAGCTACTTTTCAAGGCGAAATACGAAACTTTGCTTATAAACACGATTGAATTGTTTTCAGCAAAGCAGGTTATTTCTTCTTGGGTCAAAGAAACTGATACCCCTAGCACCATTTTTCGAGTCCGAAATGTTATTGTCAAATGTGTACTGATTTTAAGTTCTCGTTACGTACTTTGTACCGCTGCTGTTCAAGTTTCCATACAAAATTTGACATTGACATTTCGGTTTGCAAACTATTCGTATTCGATTTTGGTTCGTGCTAGGGGTACTGATCTCACATTCTGGATCTCAATAAAAACCTTTGTAGTCAGACCATCTTTAAAGTACTCAGGTACCAGTTTTCATTACAAATCGTAAGGTACCCGCGTATATTAGATCCTAGTGGATCTGCTCGCATTTTAAAGAATATTGAGTATTGACTTTGTCCGCGTACATTAAAGTAAGCAAAAACTCCCTTAGGAACCGTAAATAGGGTAATAAACACTAGAAAATACACATATGCGGGCACCAAGAGGATCTGGTTTATATTTTTTATAATTCCACACGAAGCTAACATTTTTCCGGGATAAAATCCTGTTGTTTGCATCAAACAATTGCTTTTTTGCGGGGCTCAGTAACAAACACATTAACTTTTACATTAATAAAATTAGTAGGATATGTTTTAGGACTCTGGAACTGTCTGTGTACTTATGGAAATCAAAAGCTAGGGCGTGAACTAATACTTACCTAAGTACTTCTTAGTTTTTGATTTCAAGTGCTTCAATGGCTTCATTAGATATGTGATATTAAATATAACCATTATTTCTCTGAATAAAATTTTACTAGAAATACATCCATGCGGTCCAGGCAGTAGACGGAATTCGAACCCGCACCGCTATACGGGTGGATGCACAATGCAATTATGCTAATGTTGAATTTCTTCTAGTATTTCTTTGGCTGCAAGGCAGCGCCATCGCTTCGCATTATAGCTAACCGTTTTATGTATAAATCTAGCAGTCAAATACTAAACTTGTAATATTTATTTTATAATCACTGTTTTACTATTATTCGTATCGTGTGATGTAAGTATATACTTATTGAGTTCAACATGGCTAAGCTTCATCAAGCCAATGGCCTCTAAACAATTTGTTACTGCATCAAAGTCCTTGGTTATTTTAGTCACGTGGATGGTGGTGCGAGTTCGGCCTTGCCGACCAAGTTATCAACAGGACGAAGGCTCTATTGTTATGCGCAACTAACCAAATTTCCCAACTCGTCCTTTTCAAAATGTAGGTTGCCTTTGCTTAGAATATTAACATTATGACCGCGAGGATTATGAGGATGTTAATCATGGAAATTATCGTCATCACTCAATCTTTAAAGTATGTTTATATAATAGTGCTTACAGTACAAATAATGCTGAAATAGTTTTGTTCAACATTTATTTATTTTAAAAATAAAGTACGCATAAATGCAAATAAGTGTTTTATATTTAGTTACCGTTTTTATGCATAAAGTATTCGTTTACTGAATGCGTTATTTTAACACGTACCTTTGTTATAATGTTATGGGTTGATAATAGGGATGATGACGGGGTACAGTAAACGAAATTCTATTTAGTCCGTCAGTTTGATGATCAAATAATAATGGACACGTATTTTTTCTTTGGGCAATCAACCAAAAAATGACAAAGTTATAGCGCGTCAAAGTTTGGGAGTAGGGGCTCGTGACTAGGGTTGCAACGATATATCGGAATATCGATATTATCGATAATATCGAGACCAAAATATCGATATTTATATCGATATTTAAAATTCACTGATATCGATAATATCGATATCGGAAATTCCAAAATATCGATATTTCGTAGACTTAATTTGAACACAATAATATCAATTAATTTACCTGCTATGACTATCTAAATTGAATAATATCGAAATAACTATTGCTTTGAAATTGCAAGAGCTTACAGATGTATTAAAAAAATCTTGAACCCCAAGAAATATACTAAACTGGTGTGGACTCTGGCATGTTTCTCTAAACCTAAAATTAAATTTGACAACAGTGTATCCTTGTCATTCTCTATACAGAATGAAAAGGAGAGACTGATGTTAAATTTAGTTTTAAATTTAGATAATCATGCCAGAATCGACACCAACGTATATAGGTATAATCGTATACCTAATGGTAACTCATGCACTTAAATAAAATCCTTGCCTCTCTTTCTAGATAATTGTCAACTACTGATTAATTGAAATTTAATATCATTGTAATATAACACAAAATAAAATTAAGAATCTTATACAAATCGTAAATTTTTTAAGCTCGCCAAGTCAAGAAAGTAAGATAGGTATAGTAATTTTGGAAGCTTTATGCTTACCCTATTCTGAAGCCTGATGTGTAGGTTTTACTAATTCATAACAATTGTTTTTCATATGATTATCTATTCTGATTTTGGCTGCGTGCAAATATTTTAAACAAAATAAATATCTTTGATTCGAAATTGCTTTTGATTTGATACTTCTTACAGCGCTATAAAAAATATAGAAAATATCGTGTTGGAAATGTTGGAATGGCTGACATATCTGATCGGATATCGATATTTACCTGCCCACATTATAAATATCGATATTTCGGAAACCTTTGCTTCCTTAATTTTAGGTTTTTGCTTTGCAAACTTAATACAAAGCAAAAAAAAGAAAAAAATATCGATATATCGATATATCGATAATATCGAGTTAAAATGGTCGATATATCGGATATCGATATTTGCCTGACTTCGATATAAATATCGATATAAATATCGATATTTCAAAAGACTGCATCCCTACTCGTGACGTCACTTTTGAGTGAATTTTCACTTATAAGTGTACTCAAACGTGACGTCATGCGACTTTTCAAATCAATATATCTCTGCAATGTTTATGTTATGTGAAAAAATAAAAAATACGTGTCCAATACTTTTTGATAATCTACCTGATAAACGAAGAAAAAAAATTAGTCATTATCCCTATTACCTGGAAACCGAATCAATAAAATTCAATTAGTGCATCGAACACATGAATTCTATTTGACAAAATAGTAAGGCTTAATTCCTTGGGTTAATTATTGTAAGTCATAATAGACAGCTTAAAAGTATAATAAGTCGATCTCTTTAGTGGATTGTCCGATTCATCATTTATTAACTTGAAATGTGTCCTTCACATTCAGAAATTTTACTCGTGTTTGTCTTGTCCTTTAGATATTATGTCACCAGACGACAATTACGCATTTTTGAATAAAACACTGGCCTGACTGATATAATAACCCACATTTTTATATTTCATTTTTAATATATTTTTTTCTGTTGTAATAATGACTGAAATTAAACTTTAAACTTTTCAACTGTCTCCCTATTACTGGCACCTTCACAACATGCTGATTGATCGTTAGTCGAACGAACGATGGAGGCATAGTGAAACGGTACCGTTGGCACCGGGATGATACCGGAACTCAGTAATACAGAGTCAGATCACTCTGGTTTTACCGGCGGAACTGCGCAACAGTAATAACGCGCGCATTCTCGTGGTTCCAATACGAATTTTCGTCACGCATGCAGGAGTATTATATGGTTTTCAATGGGATAGCATAAGTTCTGTGGGGTTCGCCCTGCTCATTTTGCCGAGTTCCAGAGCTGGACGCAATGAGCTGGAAAAAGTTCCTCATACCGTCGTTCTGCTTCTCCCATTGGGTTGGGAAGGCGTTATACCTATTCCCCTTCTCCTTCTTATGGTGCCTCCACTGGAGGTTCGCTCTGCGTTTTTGTTTTTGCCTCAGCTCTGCGTTTTTGTTTTTGCCTCGTGCCAGACGAAATAGATATTCCACCCTGGTGACACCAGTCCACTCTCTGATATTTCGGAGTCACGTCTTATTCCTTCTTACGTCGCGTATTTCGCTCTCTATCTTTTCCATTATTTTAGTCTGGAAAAAATGATAGCGCTCATGCCCTAAAATATCACCAAGAAAGGCCTATTCTTCAAATACGAAAAAGTTCCCCTGGAAATGTACGCTAACTTGAAAAACTTTAATTTGTTGTTCGATAGGTACTTATCTTGAGTTATCATTCATTCTAATAATTTTATTTATTGTCACCAGGAGGGGCCTCACTCGACGCTGCCAGACGACGAGTTTTACGATGCCGTGGAGACTGGGTTCGACAAAATGGAGGAGGAGAGGTGCGCGCGAGTGGTGCCGCCTAGCGTGCACACGCGGGACGAGGTCGAGCTGCCGCCGCCCGCTATCGACAACCGGCTGACGGTGCACCCACTATGGCCAGAGGTGAGAGGATACAGTAATGTTTTTTATAACACACAGGTGTCAGTTCGAAGTAGGTACTTGTCCTCAGTGCTTTGTTGCTAGACGTCGCATTCATATCGCACTGGCCCGGTACCCGTTAAAGTAACGGATGTAAACAAGAGGTCTTAGGTGGCGACATGATTTTTCACAAAAGCTTTTTCTTTTTTTTTTTATGTACTTATGAAGTATATTGATGAGCCATATTTATAGTTTACTTGGAACTGGAATTAAATCATATTCCAGACTAGAAAATTAGAAAAAAAATCGCATGCTAGTAGTGGACCTTAATTGAATGTAATTTAAATATTTAATGACATTAGCTTACCATAATTCAATTGCCTGGATATAATATAAAATCATGAAATAATTAAAAAAAAACTAGTTGTTGAGGCCTTAAAGCATGAAATGTAGGTGCCAAAATACCCCTCTCTCCGATCTCGTTAATCAACAGGTAACAAACTATTTATTCTCCAAAACCAGATATGGTGTATTATTCGGTGATAATTATACATAAATTCTGTATAATAATTTCTTACACTCTTGTTTAACACCCGAGTACTCTTTGTATTGTGCTTTCACTAAGTATTAAGATTTTAATCCGATTAAAAATAAACTAAATCGATTGATTGATAATAACGGTGTGGTGTTCCAGATTGACCGGATATCAACAGAGCAGATACAGGCTGCATTCGAGGGAGTTGGTGGAGAAATCGGATGGCAGTTGTTTGCTGAGGAGGGCGACATGAGGATGTACAGAAGGTACGTAATCATATTTAGAAACCTCTAGAAATTATTAAATTAAAACAGTAGTTCCGAAAATTAATACCAATACAGATAGAGTTGTAAATATTTCAAAGTTTTTTGATAACAGTTCAAAAGTATGTATTATATTATGAAATGAGACGTCACGAAACCTAGGACCTCTGCCTCTCCTTGTCACACAATGTCACACAGCGTCGACCCCCTCCCTTTCCCTTAACGTGTGACGTACTTTAAGGATGAAGCCTAAGATCAGTTTTAGATTGTATAAATGTCAGAATCATGCCTACATATTAGTAACAGAAAACAGTGCTACTATAATTTGAATAAATGTGATATGACAGACTCTATGAAAAAGGTTGCAAACATAATAAATATCACTGGCAAAACCTCAAGACATAAAGCATGGACTGAGCAATAATCGCGTGAAATTGTCAATAAATCGTACGCCGGGTTTTAAGGGGGTCGCTTACTCGAGAGGTCCCGAGGGTTCGAACCCTGGTGGGGGCAGATGTTTGTGTGATGAATACCAGCATTTATACTCCAGTCATGAATGTATAATATGTATTTCTATATAAATACTAATATTTGTATCAGTATATATATGTATTCTATCCGTTACCCTACTATCCCATAACACAGGCCTACAGTGCTTACTTTGGGACTAGGCTAATTAATTGGTGTGAGAGTTCGAAATTTTTATTAAATGCCCCCACTGCTGAGGAACAGGCCTACCCTATGGATCGAATAGGAAGATTGGGCCATGACCCACTACGCGGGCCCAGTGCGGTTGGTGGGTGCTAACCACTGCAGATGCAGCCGTGACAAATGGCTTACGTGCCTTTCGAAGCACGGAGGGGCTCGAGATAATAAGTTTTTGGTCACCCATCCAATGACCGACCATTTTGAAAATTGCTTAACTTCCACGATCGCAGACCGAATGCTCTAGCCACCTGCGCCATCGAGCTCCTCAATAAATCAGGTGTTCCAGTTTAGACCTTATTTCTTCAGCATTAAGATTGATGTGAATATTTCGTTTTCACAGAGAGATGGAGGTGGACGGCATGGTTATGGATCCCCTAAAGGCGATGCATAAAGTGCGTGGTGTGTCGGCCCGTGAAATGTGCCACTATTTCTTCAACCCACGCTACAGATACGAGTGGGAGAGTGAGTTCAAAGCATACGTCTTTTCTTTATCTATGTAATATTCTTGCTCACTTAGTAGCTTATATTCTATCGCCATGACATCCTTCTCCTATATCCATACTGGTTGACTGGTAGAGAATGTCTATGCCATTAATTCCGCCATTTACTGATGGTAATAAAGAATATGAATGTCGCCACTGCTGGGGCACATGGGGATTGGTGGTTGCAAACGACTGTAGATGCAGCCGGGCCCAACAGCTTAACCTGCCTTCCGAAGCACGACGGAGCTTGAAATAGTAAATTTTTGGTCATCCATCCAATAATGATCGGCTACTGCGAAAGTTGCTTAACTTCAATAATCGCAGCCAAAGTTTGCCATTAATGGCGGTCTGCTTGGCTTAACGATTAGTGATCCTAACTGCGAATTTAGCGGCACCGGGTTCCAATCTCGGAGGGTGTGGTTCATTTTCCAACTTGTTATAGATGTTAAGTATGTCTTTACGTCATTTAGTACTATAGGTACAAGTTATGCTTAGATTGGGTGCTAGATATAATTGTTGTAAAAGTGTCGCAACATTTATTTTATATAAGGCATGTAACGAACTAGAAATAACATTTAATACGAACTGTGCTAAAAACGGGTTATACGCACTGCGATCAAGTGGGCGGGGCGAAAAAAATGCGATCAACACGCCGATCATGGGATTGTTTGGGATTTCCGTTTAACGTTATATTACCTAATGAATGGATAGCCGAATTCATTTGCAGATATTTGGTTTGTCAAATTATTTTGTTTTGTCTTTGTACGTGTCGCGTTAGTATCCATATTTTAGCGGCCTTTGTTCGAGAGTAATGCTTCTATACCTAGATTCGTTGATAGTAACTGATGGATACTATGTTACTACTTAGTGTGACGATCCTTTTCTATATTGACCAACAGCGACGTTGGAAACGATGACCATAGTGGAAGAAATATCTTCAGACGCGATGGTGTTCCACCAAACTTTCAAGCGGATCTGGCCGGCGTCGCAACGGGATGCTCTATTCTGGTCTCACGTGAGAGCCGATCGAGACACCTACGCGGTCACCAATCACTCCACTACCAACGTGGACTATCCGGTCAGTAAGACAGAGAGACAGACACTCAGTCACACGTTGTTTAGATACCTAAGGTTAAATATCAGCAAACAGACATACCGACGTCGCAACGGGGTGCTCTATTCTGGTCTCACGTGAGAGCCGATCGAGACACCTGCGCGGTCACCAATCACTCCACTACCAACGTGGACTATCCGGTCAGTAAGACACACGGACAGACACACAGTCACACGTTCTTTAGTTATCTAAGATTGAATATCGGGTAGCAAACATACATACCGGCGCGCCATGGAACGCTCTATTCTGGTATCACGTGAGAGGCAATCGAGACATCTATGCGGTCACCAATCACTCCACTACCAATGTGGACTATCCGGTCAGTAAGAAACACGGACAGATATACAGACACACGCTCTGTGAAAAAAATGGCTGAACGAATTTGGATGAAATTTTACACACAGATAATTTATAACCTGGAAGGAGACGTAGAATTAATTTTAATACTGGAAAAGTGTTTTTCAAAAAACTAAAGTTACCTCTGAAGAAGTCGCGGGCGGCCGCTAGCGTGGCAATAATTTCTATGGCCCCCTTGCAAAGGCGGTGTCAACGTTTCACTTGGTTTCTATAATATATATTTAGTGTTGTTGAATATATTTATCAACCGTTAAATTAATGAAAAAAAAAATACATATTCGATAAATATTTTCAACCATATCGAATAAAAATATTCAATAATTTCATGTTGATTTTAACGCAACAGTAATATTAATTCGTGCAGATAAACGTAACCGACTGATAAAATTATCGTAATGAATAATTACAATCACAGACCGAACTAAAGAAATATTCACAATAAATCAACTTGTGAAAAATATTCAGATATTGTATTTGAATAAAAATGTTTGCTGATATTTTCAATCATTAAAATTATCGGATATTTTTCTTAAAGTATTAACGATTTTTTTTCTTTTTAATATTTTATTTACTTTAATCTTTGAAACAATTTAAATAACAAAAACTTAAAAACTATTTACTTTTTAACTTTAACTTATAATTTTTTCCAACCATTAACGCCATCTCTAATATGTATATTTATTGTTTATTGTGTTATTGCAGGCCAATACGGGCGCATGCATCCGCCTATTCGTGACGGTGTGCCTGGCGTGCCGCAGCTCGTACCCCGCCGGCGAGCGGCCCACGCGGGAAAACGTCACCACCAGCATCGCGTACTGCAGCACCGGTCAGTATACGTATAGTGATTAAGCGTTCCCGGTGTCAACATCAGCCTATTAATATCCCCACAGCTTGGGCACAGGTCACAGGTTGTAGGTCGTCCTCAGGCGCGATGGAGTGACGATTTGAGCAAGGTGGCTGGCAGGAACTGGATGCGAGTAGCCCAAGATCGATCTGAGTGGCGTGCATTTGGAGAGGCCTATGTCCAGCAGTGGACTAAGATAGGCTGTTGATGATGATGATGATGATTGGGCACAGGCTTACCCTATGGATTGAATAGAGTCCACGTGGGGACCGCTTGGCCATGACCCAATACGGATTGCTGTGTCATTTGATTACACTCTAGATACCGTATTAACTGCACGGAAGCCACACAATACATATCTACTACATATGGTAGATATGCTCGTCGCTACACAGGCACACATTGACTTCTTTAGTACAATCTGACATTAGAGTCACGCACACATTGCGCGAAACATAGCTGTTTTTGCGTGTTTTTTTTTGGATTGTGCTTTTTAGGCATATAAATAATCTCCTTCCTACGTGGAGTGGGCGGCCCGGCTACTCGGAAACGGTTTCTCGGTTCCGTTGGATGTATCCGCAGAGAAGAGTTCTACATAACCTCGCAGCTCGTCAGACGGCGGGGTATGCGTCATGCATTATCCCCGCGGTAATAAAAAAGGCGTATAAATTATCAAAGGGTGTGTATACTAACGACTTCAGATGCAACTCAAACCAAAGGCTTCCAAGTGTCTTCTAAAGTTCCCAGCCACAGTATTAAGTTAAACCTGGCCAATAGGTGAAAGACATAATGTGACCGATCTATAGTTATTATAGGTGTTGGCTGCACTATTGATATCTCACTTTCACCATAGGGAAAGTTGCTTAACTTTCACGATCGCAGACTGACTGCGCTAAACACTCGTACCATCGAGCTCCTCGAACTATATACACCCTGGCAAATATCTTGAACATAAATCATAGACAACGAAGACTAGAGAGACGGCTTTTTAAAGTGCAAATTAGAAGCAGTGTCAGTGCCGATCTCATCATCATCATCAGTGTATTAATGTCCCAACTGCTTGGGACCCGACCTTCCTTATGGATAAAACGGAGAGATTGGGCCATGACACAACACGCGGTGCGGATTGGTGGGTGCTAACGACTGCAGATGCAGCCGAGACTCTTAACGAGCCATCCGAAGCACGGAGGAGCTCGAGATAGTAAATTTTTGGTCACCCATCCAGTTACCGATCATTGCAAAAATTGCTTCGCGCGATCACAACCGAACGCGCTAACCTCTTGCGCCATCTAGCTCCTGAAAGAAGTCTCATCATCTCCAGCCTATTAATGTCCCCACTGCTGGGGCACAGGCCTTGTGGATGGAATAGGGAGATTTGGTCCATGCCCCACTACGCGGGCCCAGTGCGGATTGGTAGGTGCTAACGACTGCAGATGCAGTCGGGACGTGCAACGGCTTAACGTGCCTTCGGAAGCATGGAGGAGCTAGTAAATTTTTGGTCACCTATCCAATGACCGCCCACTGTGAAAGTTGCTTAACTTCAACGATCGCAACCGAACGCATTAACCACTTGCGCCTCGATGACTCCTCGCATAGAGTGCTGATATAAAAATACTCATATTTCAACAGTGAATCCCGGCGGATGGGCACCGGCCGGTGTACTGCGAGCAGTGTACAAACGCGAATACCCAAAGTTCCTCAAGCGGTTCACTAGCTACGTGCAAGAGCAATGTCGCGGGAAACCACTAGCTATATAGCGCACCCACAATTCACCGTGCTGAGCTCCAAAACAAGATAGTATCAGCGCCTGTCATTAACTACGAGTAAGTACTTTCATTACTCCTAAGAGTGGATTTTGAGACACGGCCTTTTCAGTTACCCTTGGCGCAATTTATCCTCTTGTCTGAGAGGCTTGTCACGTGAACGAAAATACCTTTTATGATGACTTTTTTGTGACTAATTGGCCAGAGTAATATTTTACGTTTTCTTATTACTTTAAAAGAGTTTTAAAATAAATTGAGCCAAGGCAACGGAATAAAACGAGTCTTAACATTCACACCTAAAATAGTAAGTTTGAATCGTACGATTGTGACACTTGTCATTCATACTATACAGGGTGTGCATAGTCGAAAGTTTCCGATTTTAAGTAAAAGGCCCTCAATTGTATGTGGCTATTCGGTAAACGAAAAGGGATATTATTTTCGGTTTAAATGAAACTAACTTGCCACTTTATATTCGGAATGACGAAAAGTTTTAATAACTATAAAGAATGTTTTTCGGATTTGATGATAATTCTGTATCGAATAATGCTGATTAAAATAGGTGCTTCAGAATATTCGTTCGTATTGTGTTATTTTATCAAAGCATATAAATACAAATATTAATTGCGTTTCAGCAGCGGTTTTTTGTAGCACTTATTTTATACCAATCCCGCACTAGAAATTATGCTGAATTGTTCGAACAAAATGGGATTCTCCTAGAATTGACGGATTTTTTTGTGAAACAATTCTTACAATGTGAAATGCTGATTTAGCGAGGCTCATATTATGTAAGTTGAGTTTAAGGTTGAAGCTTTGTTTTATGGGAGTAGCGACATTGCTATGGCCTATCACGTCCTCTTTTGCGCGTAGTCTACTGTGAATTAGCAAGCTATAAATAGGTACTGATAAAATTTGTTTTTGCCTTCCACTATTAAAAAAGTAAGTTTTCCTGGAATTACCTGGAAAGAAACAAACGATTTCATTTGTATTCGGAAGCACTTGTATTAACATTGTCGTTGAGCGTTAAACAGAGCCCGTATGCCGTGGACTGTGGGTATTTGACATTTTCCATAAGACATGCAAGCAAATCACTCCCAGAAACAAGCAGGTCCAAAGAATGCAAGCTGCTGTTAAAAGTTCCCACCAAAACGTACCTTATTCACTTGTAAAAAAATTGAAGTGTAGTTAAAGTAAATTATGCTGTGTGTGCTGTTTTTTATGGGTTACACAACTATTTTGGGACTTTATTTTAGCGACAGATCTATAGTCGTTTCGAAGTTGTTATGGAAAATAACTAACTTCATAAATTAATTGCCGAGTTTCATTCTATAAACTGGATTTGATAAATGGGTATAGGTACATCACGTGAAACAGTAAGTAAGGCTTTCCAAAGTCAGTTTTTTTGATAAAGATGTACAACAATTTTAAAATGAATACACTGGTTTGGTGTAAAAAACAACTTTTTAAAAGTTTCCGTAAGGATAGTTGGCCGCATATTTTTGAAACGGTCGCCTAACGCCATATACAATCTGTTAGATGTCGGTTAGTTTATTATGGGTATATAGTATATGAAATATTGTCTATGGTCGCATACATATTTTGTGACATTTAGATTGTTGAATATGTTTTTCGTCTTACAAATTGTCAACTTAATTTTCTTGGAAACTGAAGGGATTTTCCGTTCCTGTGTAAGTACCTTAAATTGTATACCAAAAATATTGTTCTAAAGTTATTTAATGTTTTGTTTGTGATCCTAAATAAAGTTATAATTTAATAAAATCCTAAAATTTCTACTATCAAAATAAATAATGAAAATATCTATGTTTATATAATATGTATGTAAACAGTTTTCAAGAAAAATATTAATTTTTCGTTTAGCTCTCGACTTGTTGGATATCCTAAATTGTACAGAAAATGCAGATATAAAAATGGAGGATAGGATATAGATAAATCTATAAATTAGGTGGGGGTGAACATTTGCTGTAAAAATGTTGTCCAGTGTTCATGATGTTTAACCGAGTGTAATTTTTGTATATTAATATGTGGTATCTGTCTGCTTTTATCGCGTCCTTTTAAATAAAAGTTGTAAAATGGATTGGAGGAAAGTTGATTCGAGTGTATAATGTAAGACAAAATTCCGGAATGCCGGAAAGGCACTTTTTTATAATTTCCAAATTTTTTAGTATGTGTGTAAACATACATAAGAAACGTCTTTTACACACACTTAATATGCACGTGAAACTTAATTTCTAGGCAAACTGATTTATTAATTGATAAAAACTAATTATGATTGTACGATTCTGAAAGTTGGGGTTACTTCCACTTTTAGGCGCAAATTTTCGGCAGTTAGTAGTTTTCGATAGTTTTAATAGACTTTCCTGCTGTTTGCAGATTGAGTTAAAGCGATGTTTAAAGTCAAAAAATGGAAGATAACCAACTAAGTCAGTTGTACAGTTGTGAATATTGCAGACTGGCAACACCCTTGAATTATAGCTTTTAACGCTACCTATTGACGTTCCTTTAAAAATGTAATTTAAGAAAATTAACTTTGGGAATGTTGGTGCCTTTTAGTTTATCACTTTAAGGGGTATAATGGATATCATTGTTTCTGATTAATGTTCATACGATGTTTATTGTTTAATATTTTCTTGTACTGTGTAAATTTTAAATTAATAATGAGTCTCATAGGCTGCATCTAAATAACCTGTAGAAATGAAATAGTTTAGATTATTTGAATTCTTTTATTAGTATTCAAATAGGTAATGCAGATAGTGCAAAATGCCAACAATTAATAAATTTGCGTTTCTGTGTTTAATCTACAGTCGTGGGGTTTATTTTGTAATAAACGAGGGGATTATGTTTATGAGCACGATATATTCTGTGACGATCTTCCCATATTTTGTTATCATTTACTGATTATACAAAAATAGTTTAGTCATTATATAAAGCATGTTATATTCTAGTACTTACTCGGTATTGTTTTCTTTATCCATGTAATGTTATTCTTGTCATAACATAGATGTAATATAAAATAGCATTTTCCATTCCAACTCTATTGTTTATTTTCTTATATAGTATCCCTTTTTTCTGTACCTTGTATTTGTAAAAATATTGTACAGGTCTCAAATTATATAATATAGATTTTTCAAAGTATAACATACAATAAATATAAAATAATATAAATTGCATTTATAGTAACGCAATGTTGGAATTGTAATAAGTTATATAATGTGAAATATGTTTTTTAATTATTGTTTATAATAAAATGTTTTATGAAGATGATTGTAGTTTCATTTGCGCATTCTGCGGCTTAAAATAAGGAGACTAAGTCCAAACAAATGAATTTTGAAATTATTTCTTTATTTACAACACTTAACAAACTCCATTCAAGTCAATTGTTTCAAACATAGACACTCATTCAGAATAGTATTATTATCATGTTGCATTGTTGCTTAACTTCATCTATTTAGGGAATGAGAAGAAAAAAAGTTTTGAGTAGCTTTTACCTATCGATTGCTATTATATGACAAAATAATTTTACAATGAAAGAACGTAGACAACACTTATAAGTTATAGCTTATCATTTTCTTTAATAAACATTAAAAAATTAAGCAACATTGTTCATTTAATGGAACATTTAACATGTTTTTTTTAAATATTATTCACATCATCAAAGTATTAATTATAAACATTCAAGTAACTTTTATATTTCTCTTTTCAAGTTTACAAGTAAGTAACAAAAAATAAAAGACATTTTATGAAAATTAATGTCCATCTTCTCCTGGAGGATGGCATTGGCTATATGTTGCTCAACACTATCAATGCAAGGTCATTATAAAATTCACAACAATGTTATTTCACTTCCATAGCCCTATAGGGTCCAGCCCTCACCATAATATAGTTAATATATCCATCATGTACGCGGCCATCTTAGAAAACAAAATTAAAGTAAAACAGGAAATCGTATTAGGTCAAGATGTCCCACTCCACCACACATCGTTTAAAACAAGAATACTGATTTAATACATTATTCCTATTGCAATACATCATACAAATTTCGAGAAAGATTTATATATTATTAATATAGAACCAACATCGATTAATCGTAGGTATTTATAACTAAATCAATTGAGCTATCAAATTAACTTTTTTATTTAACAAATACATATACGATACATTGTTAGTTGGCCTTAAATTACGTTTTGGTAGGTTTCCGTACTCATAGTAAAATATTATGAGATTGAACACTGTACCTACAATACAATATTGGAGTAGCAAAAAGTATTTACTACAAATATAAGTATCTATATAAGTGAAAATGTTTCGAATAATTGTATAATTAATTAGTTTAGACCGTTTTTATATTGACATTGAGCACAAGGAAGCGTAATATTACACAAATTTGATTATTTATTAACTACACAAGTCCTTAGCGTACCAGCGTCACATAGACGAATATTAGTTTATAATTTTAGTAATATATAATCTATTGTTACAATACATTACATCTTATTCGAATATAATAAGTTAAAAGAAATATTCTGATATAATATATTACTATATATTTTTCACAATAAATAACATTAACATTTATTAAAAGTTCAAAATGTGTGGGTAAACCACGTTTTCACCAGGAATGAATAGTAACCGCGCCCAAGAAGTATCTAAGAAATCAAATGGAAAGTAATACGAATTTTGATATGCTATCGAGTCCGAAAGATTCGGCGAACTACAAAAAGTTTAGTACAAAAATAGGAATTCTTTGAAAGCTCAAGTGTATAAATGGACCAATAATTTATTTTATCAATATTTTCTTTTAAAGAAAGGAACGGATATTATGTTTTGTCATTTGATAAAGATTTTTTCAGAAAATGGATCTTAATAATAAAGATTAATTCCCATTTATAGTTGACAAAGTTTTTATCATTATTAAATTACCTATACATATCATAATAAAATATTACTAATAATAATGACATTATTTCACAATATCTAAAAAATAAATAACATTATTGTAATCCTGTATTATCTATCAAAGGAAGCAGTAATATAGAACTTTGGTATTTAATACACGATATTGGTGTGACAAAAATAATGAAGAACTGTTACAGAAATAAAATGGCACACGAAGCTACACATACCAATACAAAAAGCTGGCATTATGAATATTCAATTCAACGCATTGATTATATTTTTTCCTGAAAGATCATCTCATGTAACATATTAGCCTATATTCTTCTGTCATGAGACGCTTAAGAACGATTCAACTTGAAAACTTGCCAACTCTTTATTATGGCACTTATATCACGGATTTCACGTAAACCCATCAGATAAATTAATTACGCGTAAAACTAATCTATTTACCCGTTTTAATGGCAACTATGTCAACAAAAGGAGGATTGCGCCGATAAATTGTCTACGGGATCAGTTGATAAAATCTTACGTTTTTTGATACATAGTAAATATATTTGTTCGATATACCCTATAAATACCACTACGTAAAAAAGTAGATATCAACAATTACAGTTATAAATGATATCTACACTAACACGGATATAATAAGTATAAAATAAGCGTATTTTCGGACACATCTGGGACCTTACCGTGAACAGTTGACGCGTTGCAAAAGCAATTGTTTAAGCGAGATGGTGCCCAACATTGTTGTATAGCGATGTCTCTTTCTCTCTTCAACAATCGTATTTGCATCGCTTTATAATGCATACTACGGCCCTCGTTTGGCATCTTTCGTGCCCGTGATCCGTTTCAGACTTTTAACGTTGACCTCCAAATGTGACTTGGAAATCTTTGACCCCCCGTCGTTCTATAGTTATTTTTTTACGTACCATATCCTCACATCACACGATATTGTCAGCTGCGAGCAGCATCATTACAATAATAATTACCTACTAAGAAATTCATCATATATTTTTATTTCACAAATTATGTATTAAAGATGTGAGAAACTGTGCGCAGCTAACCCAGCGAAGTTCTGTTCCCTCTTTTAACATCTTGCACTGGTTCCGTGCAAGATACTTACTACTTTTTTCATAAAGTAATAAACCTCCGAGTTAAAATCTATAGTTAACACCCAATTGAGAGACACACAGACACTATAGTTGTGGACATAACTGACTGTGTCTGCGCGTAGTTGTATTTGCTGCTAACTACACAACCGCCATAAAGTTTGAATCTAGATTAATTCACTAGCATGTGAATTCACTCTGCCGCTATGCTCATTCTTCTGAGGTGGCGGTGTTGGTAGTTGTGTTGGCAGTTATGTTGGTGCAGTGAAATTGGTGACGCCCGCGTCCACCTCGAGTGTACGCTTGTATTTTTTGCTGGGGTTGAACACCAGCTCCATTTCAATGAATGGACGAAAAACACAAATCAACACCCTAAAAGACACGGCGAAATGTCTTCTAGAAAAAGAGCTCCTTCTCGCAAAATAATTTGGTCCGATCGGTAGTTAATAGGGATGCAACGATACGAGTAAACATAAGTAACTACTCAATACTTTTCTTTCGATATAAAGTATTTTTGGCATCGATACTTTAGATCTGAGTAACAAGTACTATCGTGTAGAAAGTACTTGTATCGATACTCGGTCGGTCACTCACTGAGAAGTATCAAAAAAAACTCATAGGCAGATAATTTACTCTATGGTAGTCTAGTTGGATTTATTGTTTCGCGAACGCATCTTTTTTACTGCTCATTTGGTAGTCTTGCGTATGATTTATATTTATTCCAATTTATTCAGTCGTTCATCGTATTGCGTGAACCGTTATTTTGTTTTCGTTAAATAAAACTGTGACTGAATTTGTAATTGTAATATCGTTGGCCAAAATTTATCGAAACAAGTATCGATACTTTTCATTCGATACCGAGTAGGCATCGATACTCTATGACCGATACAGTATCGATACCTAGATGGTATCGTTTCATCCCTAGTAGTCTAGTAGTTAATTAGTTGATTCTTTTTATATCTAGGGAAGTAACATCCATGTTTTTCTACTGTTCGATCTTTGGTGGTTAATCAGTTGACGCCGGCGTCGTCCAGCTTGCATGGTTGCAGGCTCACTCTTCAGCGGTGGCGTTGGTATTGGCAGTAGTGTTGGCCGGGGGCGGATGCAGCGCCAGGTGTCGCTGCGCGCGCATAACTTCGGCGATGGTGGTGACGCCGGCGTCGTCCAGTTCTCGCCAGCGCGCGTGGTTGCTACGCGCGTGAGACACCAACTCCGGCATATCGATGAATGCTGGTGAAAGAAAATATGACAAATAAAATTACTAAAGTAATAATTATTCTTTAGAGATTTTAGAATGAAGAATTTTAGAAAGATGAAGCATGATACAAAGAGGAGCTGCTGCAGTCAATGCACAGCTTTTAATAATATTCTACTGACGTCAATGGTTAATACACACATCAAAAGTGTCTAGGGATCAACATATATTTTTGCAATAACTTTTCTCCTGATTGATATTAATTAAAATTTTCTTTAAGGATTCATCAAATAAAGTGTTTTCGTTTGTCACAGTAACGATAAACCAAGTCACCTTTGCATTAATAAAGAAATTTGCCATTTTCCTAATAAAGGGATTTTTGACATTTGAACCACTAACACAAAAGTTCGAAAAAAAGACTGAAATAACAGTTTTCTCTAAAATTTTATTGGGTAACTTAAACAATTAATAATCCGTATTTCTACCGCGAACACTAACAACACAAGAACATCGGTTTGGCATACTCAAAATGAGTTCATCCAAATCACGCTGTGGAATGGCCGCCCATGTTCGTTGCAACAACAAAAAAAGGTCTTCTTACGACTGGATACCCTCCATATTCGGCAGAGCTCTTCTCTGTAGCATATCCCATGCATGCTCAATCGGGTTCAAGTCTGGCGACTGAGCAGGCCAGGGCAGGACATTGATGTTAGCTGCGGCGAGAGTCTGTCTTACAACTCTTGCGGTGTGCGGTCGTGCATTATCATGCATTAACTGAAATAAGGGACCAATTTGCACTTGTAGAGGAACGATGACGTCTGATACAATCGTCTCAGCATAAATTTGAGCGTTGAGGTTGCCTCTGATCCAAATCAACTCAGTTCTTCCGCCGATCCAAATACCCGCCCATACCATGATGGTTCCACCACTATAAGGATGGACTTCCTGGCAGGATTTTAATCGCTGTTGGCGTCCAGGGGTTCTCCAGTGTCGTATACGTCTTGTATCCGGTCTCATACCAAAACGAGACTCATCAGAAAAGCACACGAAACGCCATTGTTCTTCTGCCCAATTTCTGTGTTCAAGAGCCCATTGATATCGAATCCTACGATTGTGCATTGCTATAGGTGGTACCCGTAGCGGTCTTCGGGAATGAAGGTTCACTTCATGCAAGCGGTTTCTGACTGTTTGGTCGCTAATTAAGTTCCCTGAAGAGTGATGAAGCCTCACGGCTAACATCATGGCGGTTATTGTTGGAGCTCTTCGAGTTAAGATTTGAATGTATCGGTCTTGTCTCCGTGTGGTGCAGCGATACCGTCCTCCATGGCGCTCAGCCACGGTACCAGTGCTTCGGTATCGTGTCCAAAGTCGACTGATAACACTCTGACTTGTATTCAGAGCTAAAGCCACAGTACGTTGCCGGGAACCAGCTTCTATCATTCCCACGGCTCTGAGCATTTCTTCCCTGCTTAAATGACGTCGCCGCTCCATAATAACGTTGGTTTTAATCAGTAGTAGGGAAACAGTAGCACTAATAATATCTTCAATGCGTTGTATGTTTTTATAGGGAAAATATTGACAGCTGATTTTCATCTTTTACTCGAATTTGATTCACAGTTCCTGATTCAAATTATGAAATGCACCAAAAAGGATCCATATAAATTTATAAAATCATAAATTTATTACAAAGCCACATCTCAATCTCAAGAAATCCGCATAAAAATGCTTGATCCCTAGACACTTTTGATGTGTGTAGTTCTGTATAGATGTAAGGCCGGTTTAAAACCAATTAAACCAATCCGTTTAAAACCAAAATAAATCATTTTTTTCGATTTAAAACGGTTGGTGTTGATGACTATGTTTTTCTTAATTATAACTACATTGTCTTGATTTTACCGAGGTAGGAATATGACGAAGTGACCTATAAACTGTATAAAGATTTTTTAAATGTGTGATATATACTTACTGATATTGATATGCTTAGCGAGTTTAGTTCTAGTTGGTCCATCCGCGACCAAGCGTAGGTACTACCTACCTAAGTTATAAAAACTCTTATAATCATGTACAGTCAGGTCACAAGCCCATTTTAACAGTTAACATCTTTATGTATCTTGTTGTATATGTCAAAATATGCTTTTAAAAGTGACCCCCTGATTGTAGGTACGTTTGCATGTAGTTTTTGTATTTCGTTATCATAGGGGTTTGTTATTTATGATGACTGTAAATAAAGAACTACTACAATCAAATTCAAAAAAATTGACCATAAGTAAGTGTAAAAAACATAGTTCTTTTATTTTTGTATGCCAGTTTTCAACCGTTTAAAACGATTTATTTGGGGTTTGAAACGGCTACATTTTGTTTAAAACGTTTTAAATCGGTTGTTTTACATCTATAGTTCTGACCACTGAGCACCAGATGCGCTGTTATTTGTTCGACTGATTTTTTTATTAATACAAGTATCGTCCTGTAATCGTTTAAATTCTACGCGGTGCCTAAGCCAATTTCAATAGAGATACTTCAGCTATGCTTACGACTAATTCCGCTAATAAGACAACACGTCAATTGGGAATCAATAACCAAGTTTTGTTCGTCCGTAAGAGTTACAAAAAAAAAACTTTATTTGATACCATAATTTGTAATTCTGTATTGCGATTTGGGAATTTCTTGTAAGTAAGTATATTTCTATTATTGTAAGTATATACAAGTATATACTTGTATTAGAAATTCCCGCTCTCTGTGCTAAAAGAACATGGTATATTGAACTATTGAACACCTTAATTACAATTAGAACATTTTAAAATAAATAACCCGAAAAAGAAAAAATACATTATTTTTTACAATATTTTTTTTAAGTCGGTGTGTTTGTCTGTGAGTGTGCGTGTTTGCGTGTGTGTAGATATATATCAAATATTTATTTAAGTATATACCCGCCCGAGCTGTCCTGTCCGTAGTGATGCCCATGTTCGAGCATCACTGTTGGGCATCACTACAGGCAGGCCTTCTGATCGTCCGTCTGAAGAAAGTATTCTTATCGGCAGCTATAAGTTGGTCCGTAAGTTTTATATACATACCCGCCCAAGCTTCTATCATGTCGATGAAGCCGATCTGCGAGGGCAGGATGAAGCAGGTGGCGCGGTCTAACATGGGCATCACTAGAGGCAGGTCCTTCGACTTCTAATCTTCCGTCTGAAGAAAGTATTCTTATCGGCAGCTATAAGTTGGTCCGTAAGTTTTATGTACATAGCTGCCTAAGCCTCCATCATCGATGAAGCCGATCTGCGAGCGCGGGATGGAGCAGGTGGCGCGGGTAAACATGGGCATCACTACTGGCAGGGGGTGCAAGGGGTTCTAAATACACCTGCAAGAACCCAAGCCAACCTCACCTTCACGTGGTGCACCCTGTTGACCAACAGACGAGGCTCTGGCAAACCGACCGATGGCGGTATAACCATCCAATGACGTAGGGGAGGAAAATGTCAGTGGTGACGGGCAGCAGCCTCATCAGTAAATAAACCTACGCTCTGCGATCGCCAACCCGCCTGCCCAGCGTGGCGATTATGGGCAAAACCTTCATGCACAAGAAACTCAAGCCACGGCCCCCAGTTCCCGGCAGCCCCGCTATTCCTGGTCACGGTGGCGACCACGGTAACGGTGGGGCGGGGGGTGCCAAGAATCTCCGGGCTACGGGAGGCCACCACAAAAGACTGACCCTGGCGACGTACAACGGACGCACGCTACGGCTTGACTCGCATCTGGCGCAACTCGAGGTGGAACTTGGAAAGATTAGGTGGCATATTTTAGGGTTAAGTGAAGTCCGAAGAGAGGGGGAGGACACCATAACCCTCGAATCGGGCCACCTAATGTACTTCCGCGGGGGAGACCAACAGTCCCAAGGTGGCGTTGGGTTTTTGGTAAATAAGTCCCTTGCCGATAACGTTGTGGAAATGTCCAGCGTGTCGAACAGGGTAGTGTACCTTATTATAAAGCTCACCGTGAGGTATAGCCTCAAGGTGGTGCAAGTGTACGCACCGACCTCGACACACTCGGACGACGAAGTGGAGGATATGTTCGATGGTATATCGAGGGCCCTCCACTCCACTACTAAGACCCACTACAACGTTGTTATGGGGGACTTCAACGCTAAAGTGGGAGTACAGAATTGCAGCGAATCGGTAGTAGGATCCCATGGATTTGGAAGCAGAAATCATAGGGGGCAAATGCTCGTCAACTTCTTCGAACAGCAGTGGCTCTTCTTGATGAACTCTTTTTTCAAGAAACAGCCCCAAAGGAAGTGGACATGGCAGAGCCCCGACACTATGACTAAAAATGAGATCGATTTCATCATGACGGACAAGAGGTACATATTCAGAGACGTCTCCGTGATCAACAGGTTCAATACCGGTAGTGATCACCGACTCGTCCGGGGCTCTCTGAATATCAACTTTAAGGCCGAGCGCGTTCGTTTAATGAAATCCAGGCTCCAACCTACTTTGCTCCAATCTATAACAGGATCTGAAACGTTCCAGTCAAATCTGGAGAACCGATTTGCTGCCGTGGAAACCACATCAGACGTAAACCAAAACCTCGAAAATGTGGTTCGGATTCTCAGGGAAGAGGGTACGATACTATGTGCAACGCAGCGTAAGGGCAGGAAGTCAAAGCTTTCGGAAGAGACTTTAGGGCTAATGAAGGAACGACGTGAAAACCCACCCGTCACTTCGTCGGCAAAGCGGACTCTAAACCAAGAGATCAGTAAGCACGTACGACACGACCTTCGATGCTCCAATACTCTCTCGATCGAGAGAGCGATCGAGCAGAATCGAGGGTCCAAAGTGTTCGTACAATCTCTTGGAAGAAGCCATCTGACGAAGTTGGCCACATCAAGTGGGGAAGTTGTTGCTTCAAAGCCGGCAGTCCTTTCGGAAGTGGAAGACTTCTACAGCCAGTTATACGCATCACATGCATCTTGACCTGATCCCGGAAATGAGGATTCTAGAGCCACATTAACACGCCACTTCACCGAAGACCTGCCAGAAGTCAGTATTGGCGAAATCGAGATTGCTCTTGGACAGCTTAAAAATGGAAAAGCCCCTGGAGAGGATGGTGTTACAACAGAACTCTTGAAGGCTGGAGGTAAACCCGTACTGAGGGAGCTCCATAAGCTTTTTAACACTGTCCTGTTCGAAGGGAGAACTCCGGAGGCGTGGAGTAGGAGTGTGGTCGTCTTGTTCTTGAAAAAGGGGGACAAGACCCTACTTAAGAACTATCGACCCATATCCCTTCTAAGCCACGTCTATAAGCTGTTCTCAAGAGTGATCGCGAACCGTCTTGCGCGAAGATTTGATGACTTCCAACCACCGGAACAGGCTGGGTTTCGGAGCGGATACGGCACCATAGACCACATCCACACAGTGCGGCAGATTATACAGAAGACTGAGGAGTACAATCAGCCCCTGTGCCTAGCATTTGTGGACTATGAGAAGGCCTTTGACTCGATTGAAATCTGGTCTGTCCTGGAGTCCCTGCAGCGTTGCCAAGTCGACTGGCGATACATCCAAGTGATAAGATGTCTCTACGAAGCCGCCACCATGTCTGTCCAAGTACAGAATCAGCAAACAAGTCCCATACCGTTGCATCGTGGAGTGAGACAAGGGGATGTTATTTCCCCGAAATTGTTCACTAATGCAATGGAGGATATGTTCAAGACGCTCGCCTAACATCACTATTCAAATGTTTTAATTTGGTACATCAATTTTTTGAGCCTACTAGAGTAACATCTCATTCAGCTACTTGTTTGGATAATATATTTACTGATTATAATCCAGTTAGTAAGTCAATTATTAATTGTATCACATCAGATCATTACGGCTCAAAAATAACATATAATACAAATGACACTACTAAGCCCAAATTCATTGAATTAAGACCAGTAACAAATAAACGTTTAGAAAATTTTCAAAACAATATTGATGATAAAATGTTTCAAATGCCATGGACACATGAGGATCCTAATATTCTTTACGGCAATATGTTCACTTTGGTTAAGAAAGAATTCGATAAGGCTTTTCCGCTTAAAACTTTGAAATTAACTCAAAAGTTGAACTTCTGTGACTGGGCTACGTCTGGTATTTATAAGAGCAGAAATAAACTTTATGATTTGTACTACTTAAGGAAGTGCAATCATTCTCAGGGTTTCATTGATTATGTTAAAAGGTACTCAAAAACATTCAAAAGTGTATGTGCAACAGCCAAATCCAATTACATAAAAAATAAAATCATAAAATCTAATAATAAAATTAAAACGACATGGAATGTTATTAGTAGAGAAACTGGTAAAGAAAGAACCCTCGATGATGGGATCGCACTTAAAGTAGATAATATTCAAATTAAAACAAAAGAACAGATTGCCAATACTTTTAATGAATATTTCGTTAATATACCATTAATTACTACTTCTAATTTGAATTCGACGCCAGCGGGTGCTAAGAGTTTGCTAGAGACGTGTGTGCCTCGGTGTGATAACCTGTTTACGTTTAAACATGTTGATTTTATGGATATTATAAAATGCTTTAACTCACTTAAAAAGAAAAATACGTGTGATTTGTTTGGAATGTCTATTAAAATTACTAAAAGTATAATAACAGTTATCGCTCCTTATCTTGCAGATATATTCAATAAGTGTATTGATCAAGGTGATTTTCCAGACCTTATGAAATATAGTAAAGTTATCCCTCTCTTCAAAAACGGCATAAGAGATGATCCCGGTAATTACAGACCTATATCAATATTACCGGTATTAAGTAAAATTTTCGAAAAAATTATTTTAGATCAATTATTATCGCATGTCAGTTTGAACAAACTGTTACATAATAATCAATTTGGCTTTACTAGGGGTAGATCAACAACGGATGCGGGTGTGCACTTATTAGACATATAATGGAAGCCTGGGAGAAGTCGCAGAATGTTCTTGGGGTATTCTGTGACTTATCCAAGGCGTTTGACTGCGTTGAGCACCAGACGCTGGTGTTAAAATTAAATCACTATGGAATCAAAGGCGCAGCCCAAAACTTGCTACTATCGTATCTCAGTTCCAGAGTTCAAACTGTAGAGGTAAATGGTGTTAAGTCATCTGGATCTTATGTGAAAATGGGCGTTCCCCAGGGATCGATTTTAGGTCCGTTTCTATTTTTATTGTACATAAACGATTTGCCATTTTTTGTGGAAAAATTGTGTGAGATCGTATTGTTTGCTGATGATACTTCTTTATTATTTAAGGTTGACCGATACAAGAATAACTTTGACGATGTAAATAATGCTCTCTCACAAGTATTGCACTGGTTTAATGTAAATAACTTAAAATTAAATGCAAATAAAACCAAATGCATTAAATTCACTTTACCTAATGTTAGAAGCGAAACCATTAGAATTAAATTAAACAATGAAAACCTAGATTTAGTTGAGTCTACAATATTCTTAGGTATAACCATAGACTCGAAATTGCAATGGTATCCTCATATTTCTCTGCTAGCTGGTAAACTTAGTTCAGCAGCCTATGCCATACGTAAAATAAGACAACTTACTGATGTAGCTACTGCTAGAACTGTATACTTTAGTTACTTTCATAGTATTGTATCCTATGGTATTATTCTCTGGGGATCAGCAGCCGATATTGAAACTATATTTATTTTGCAAAAAAGAGCTATAAGGGCTATTTATCAACTTAGTTCTAGAACATCTCTTAGAGAAAAATTTAAAGAAATCGGGATTTTGACTGTTGCTTCTCAATTCATTTATAATTGCATACTTTTTGTTCGAAGCAATATTAACTATTATCTAAAACACAGTGTCATACATTCTTAAAATACAAGGAATAAAAATAAACTCAAGATACCAAATTACAGGTTACAGAAGGTTCATAAATCATTTATGGGTCAAGGTATACATTTCTATAATAAGATTCCTATTGATATCCTTGATTTGCCTCCTCATAAATTTAAAATACACATTAAGAATTGTTTACTTAAGAAAGGATATTATACTGTCAATCAATATTTGAATGATAAAACGGCCTGGTTGTAATTTTACCTGTAGATAATTTTTCAAAAGTTATATTAAAACTAAGGCTCCCAGCCTTAGAAAGAGTTTTGAAGAGAACCTTGCACTTACTCCCTTTCATATACTTGTTCATTTTGTTTTGAAAATTGTTTCTTGCTATTTTGGGACTTATCTTTGCACTTATTGTTAGTAAATTCATTGATTGTTACATATTTGACATTATGTGATGGAAGTTGACCTCAACACATGTTTGCAAGTTTGATGTCAACTTTCAATTGGACGACACTGTATGAAATAAAACAGGGAGAAAAAAGCAGCCCTTGCTGAGTTTCTTGCCGGTTCTTCTCAGTACAAGGTCTCCCGCCGTAGTTTTGCGAACCGATGGCGTAGCTTTTCGACATTCACAAGTGCTTGTAACAGCCTAGACTGAATAAACGATATTGAATTTTGAATTTTTGACGCTGAACTGGAAACGACATGGCATCAACATAAATGGCGAACGCATCTCTCACTTGCGATTTGCTGACGACATCGTCATCATGGCAGAAACCCTGCAGGACCTACAACAGATGCTGAATGACCTGGCTGACTCTTCTATACGCATCGGCCTACGGATGAACTTGGATAAAACCAAGGTCATGTTCAATGAACATGTTCTACCGGAACCGATTGCAATACACGGTGCCGTTCTCGAAGTTGTTCAAAAATATGTATACCTCGGGCAGACATTGCAGTTAGGTAGAAACAACTTTGAGGACGAGGTGAATAGAAGAGTTCAGCTAGGTTGGGCAGCGTTTAGGAAGCTACGTCAAGTCCTGACATCGTCGATCCCACAGTGCCTAAAGACGAAAGTCTTCAATCAGTGCGTCCTACCTGTGATGACATACGGAGCCGAGACGTGGACACTGACGGCACGGCTGATCCACAGGTTCAAAGTCGCTCAACGCGCTATGGAAAGGGCTATGCTCGGCGTTTCTCTGAAAGATTGCATCAGAAATGAGGTAATCCGACAGAGAACCAGAGTTATCGACATAGCCCACCGGATTAGCAAGTTGAAGTGGCAGTGGGCTGGCCATATTTGCCGAAGAACCGATAACCGTTGGGGTAGACGAGTTCTGGAGTGGAGACCGCGTCTAGGCAAACGTAGTGTAGGACGTCCTCAGGCACGATGGAGTGACGATTTGCGCAAGGTGGCTGGCAGGAGCTGGATGCGAGTAGCCCAAGATCGATCTGAGTGGCGTGCATTTGGAGAGGCCTATGTCCAGCAGTGGACTATGATAGGCTGTTGATGATGATGACTGGCAGGTCCTTTGCCTTCTGATCGTCCGTCTGAAGAAAGTATTCTTATCGGCAGCTATAAGTTGGTCCGTAAGTTTTATATACATACCCGCCCAAGCTTCCATCATGTCGATGATGATGTAGTCGATGAAGCCGATCTGCGAGCGCGGGATGGAGCAGGTGGCGCGGTCGAACATGGGCATCACTACGGGCAGGTCCTTTGCCTTCTCCTCGTCCGTCTGAAGGAAGTATTCCTCCGCGATCCTGTATACAACAAAATCATCAGCTATTGCGAAAGATGCTTAACTTGCACTCCACAATCGCAAAACGAACGCGCTAACCAATTGCGCCACCGAGCCCCTCTACAATTATACAATTTTAATGGTTACATTCAATAAAATATTATTGCTTCTTAAGTACATGTTTGTGAAGAATCTTTTGGGTAAATGTTAGCTCAAACTTATAAGGATTGGAATTGCTTTTTATATGCAGCTTGGAGAACCAAGTCTCAGTTTCAAGACGGAACTTTTCTTGTTTTAGTTACCTTCTCGCCCATTCTACGGCAAACTTCAGAGGTCTGGACGCATTTGACACATCTGCACATTTTATCATCATTCTTTTAACCAAAACTACGTTCTCTGGTAATGATAGTGCCGTGGTGTCCAATGCTAATGGTTCCTGAAACAAAGAATTTCAACAATAGTATCAGTTTTGATCGGGGCCTTACTTGTGCGAACTTTACTCCTTTCGCTTAGCTTAGCATTTCATTGGGAAAGAGATTATATTATGTTACATTGACACTTGCTTCCATGGACTTTTGCTTCAGCTTTGAAGGGGATCGCGGAAAGAATTAATATCATACATAGAGCCCCCAGATTGAACTCAACGTTTTCATATAAAAGTGTTATAGATTTTATATCTAAAGAAATCTACTCTGCCTTTTTATCAGGCTAGCTGGGCATGAAACAATGTCTTTAGCAATCCGGGCGAATGCAATAATCGATATGCGACCAAGACTACAAAAAATCAATTCGGCCAATTAAGGACCTTCCAGTCTTGCTTTTGATATGACTATCCTATATATCTTTGAACTGTTTAATTCGATATCTGTCATAGGTAGTTTTTAACAATAGTATTTTAAAGCGGGAATAGCATGCTTACGTCAGTATGCATTCCGTCTTCCTTGCTGCCACTGGTTTTCGCGTAGAACACGTTGACGAACTTGGCGAGGTGCTCGTAGTGCTTGGTCATCTCCGTCGCGAGGATCATATCGATCACGTTGTGCCGCATCGTCTTGTACGTGTCCCGGTCGAGATTCTTGAATATGTTCACGCGGTCGTCATCTGTGTGTAGAGCAAGGTACTTAATTAGTGAAATATGTTATACTCGTATAAGCTTCAGTCGTTTGGTTAAATAAGCTAGCCAATTGGACGCATATACTGTTAATTAAAAGTCGACATCCAATGAAATGGGTGAGGGACAACTAGTGAAGTCGTCGAATGTAATGTTATATTGTGTCGATTGATGAATTTGTGATGTTTGGCAGGTTAACCGGTTAAAATAACCTGCAGTAAACAAAAATCAAATTTGTATCATTTCACGAAGTTTTGGTCAATCGTCTTCACGTGTCCGATGCATTGTAATGTAATCGAACACCCATAATGTAGTATATTAGTATTTTGCCTAAGACTGTTTTAATTAGGTTAGCACGCGCGTCAATTTATTCAGTGTATTTTTGGTACCGAACGAGTCGGATGCATTCATTAAACATTAATTTTAGTATATTTTATAAAGAACAATATTGTGGAAATTATAATAAACTCTTTGAATATATTTGAACTTCCTCTTTTACTTCAAAAATTCGCCGTTATCCAGTGCAAGTCGGAACATGGTCCTTCGAGTGACCTCGCGAATCGGTTAAATATCGTCGTGAGTGTAAATGAACTAGTGAACAGTGACCTGTCTGGATTGCGGTGCAATATAGTGGTGTTCCAGGTATACCAATCTTTATCAGGCTTGGATTTATATCCACGCCTCTCACCATACACCAGGAGCAGCATCAAATAACAAGTAAGATCTTTCTTATTTTTCTCTACAACAATGGAAGACCTTAATGAAAACCAGAACTAGCTGATAACCGCTATGGAGCAGCCCGTCAGAAACATCAAAAAAGATGGGGCAAGTAGCAAAATTGCCTTGTATATCAAGCAAAGAGTACAAACTCTGGACAGTTATTGGCAAGAGTTTGAACTTAACCATATCAAAATGAGTAAGTACGATGAACGTGACTATACATACTTTTCGGAAGATATGTATGTGTAGCGTGTGAGTAAACTAAACGCAGCACAGGATCATACGATGTATGACGTAGCGGTGGCCTGATCAGTGACGTCGCGCACGCAGACACACGTCTTGCAATATGGTCGCCGGCGCATCTTTTGTTTTCGCAGTGCAAGTAGCTACGACGCACCTGAGACCACACCTCTCCGCAAGATGGACGCGCGCGCATCTATTGTTCATCGATGGGAGGCGCGTCTTCACCACTACGTCAAGCCCGAACCTTAATTATTATTAATAGTTTTTTCTGTATAAAAGACGATGTCTGGTTGAATTGTATTCATTCCGCTTTGCATTTCGCTTTGTGACTTAATATTAAATTTTATAAATTCCCACTGCAGTTATCTTATTTAACCGACGCTTCCTGTGCTTAGCTTATTACCGAAGTCAGCTTATTAATATAAAAGTAAAAACAGTTAGTTTACTATATATGCTTAAACTAACTTATTATGAAGAAAAAAGACAATGGATTTTGGAACATCTAGATACATAAACAGAGAAACGAGTAGAGATGCAGAGTGAAACAGGTGGGTTTGGACAAGAGTTAGGAGAACAAGGAATGTCGAGTGAAAGAGAGGCAGAATTGGGTGACTCTTCAAAACAGCGCGACAAAGACTATACATTAGCGAGATGTCAAGGAAATACAAGCAAATTAGACGAGATGTTAAATAAGCAAACAGCAACTTGCTTGACTTTCAATACGCCAAATTGTAATACGGTAATTCAAGTCCAATTTGCATAGTCGATTAGTTGCAGAGGAAGGCGGAAGAAGCGACGTGCCGTCGTGGGCGATGTCGCGGGAGCACTTACTGAGAGTGAGCTTGAATGTGAGCGCGGCGTGATGCGACTCCAGCACGCTGACGTCGTTGTAGAGGACGGCGAGCGAGTGGCGCGAGTTGCAGAGGAAGGCGGAGGAAGTGCCAGGATGGTCGATGTCGTGTGCCGCCGCTGATATTAAAGCTGCCGCCGCCTCTAGTGGTTCCATTATGCTTTTCAGACGATCCTTCTCTAGGAAGAATGCTACTGCCTGTGGAAGATAATAACAACAAGGGTGATTAATGTTCTCTGAGTTTCTGGATTGATAGGCGAGGCTTGTTACATTTACAAGAAACGACATTGTTTTGTGGGGTGCACTTAGCATGGTTATTTTAGTTGGATGTAACAACCTCGCCCAAATCCTGCCAGAATACCAGCGCTGATACAGTGAAAAAGTACTTTCTCACTGTGTCAGCATAAGCTGAGGCAGGGTCTTGATTGGCCATCTTAGATTATTATGTTTTTTTTGTTCGTTAGGTTAAGTTTTCTTGTTTTTTTTCTTGTTGTATTTATAAGTTTTTATTTTGTTAAGATAGCCAGTAAAATAGAGTTTTGGTATGTGTTGATATAATGATAGTTAGTCTCCACGACCGTCAGCCAATGCTGTAGGGTCTCTCGTCGCAGTCTAGGGTCGCAGACATCGAGCCTGCCGCCAATAAGCGCGAGGCCAAGGTGCACGAGCGGCTGGTTACGTGTCACTGCCTTTTCAAGGTGATTGGCAAACCGAGTGTCATTGAAGTATATTACACTTACACACACTCTGGCTCAGAGTCGCACAGCTGGCGATGGAGAGAGCTATGCTTGGTGTTTCTCTACATGATCGAATCAGGAATGACGCCATCCGTAGAATAAGTAGAATGACCGATCGCCAAAGCTGAAGTAGCAATGAGCGGGGCACATTGTTCGGCGAACCGATGGACATTGGGGTCCCAAGGTGCTTCAATGGCGACCTCGCTCGCACTGGGAAGAGCAGTCATCAGGTGGACTTCATCAAGCAAGTCGAACCGACTCTCTGGATGTGGAAAGCACAGGTCCGTTATGTTTGGAAAAACCTAGATGAGATTATGATGATTACTTATCTGTAGGACATCAGCAGCGCGCGTGGAGTTATGGTATGTACTGATTGCATGGTAGTTAGTCTCCACGACTATCAGCCAATGGAGAAGGGTCCTCTCGTCGCACTATAGGGCGGCGCAGACATCGAACCTGCCTCTCATGAGCACAACGCCTTTTAAAGGAGATTGGTAAACCGAGTGTCATTGAAATAACAAGTTGATCTCACCTGTAGGACATCAGCAGCATGTGTGGAATTATGGTACGTGTTGATAGCGTGGTAATTGGTCTCTATGACTGTCAGCCAGTGCAGTAAGGTCCTCTCGTCGCACTCCAGCGTCGCGCAGACATCGAACCTGCCTCCCATTAGAGAGAGACCGAGGTGTACGAGTGGCCGGCCTCGTGTCAACTCTTCCAGTCGGAAGATTTCAAAGTCCCAACTTCGAGCGGTGTCTAGAAGCTCGCGCAGTTGCCCTGAAGTCTATGTAAGAAAGTCTGGTATGAAAACTTTGAAGCTCACTTGCTTGTGTCTGTATTATATAATCATAGATATTAAAGAAATTAGAAAATGGACTGAACGATTACGACTCATGAAATTCACAACTCTTTAAAAAGTGAAAATTATTGGCCGCATGTTCGCTTAATCTTTGTCGCACTTAACTGCCCATGTTTTTACAGTTGGACAGGAAATACTCAGTCTAATCTCTATGTCTATGGTCTACATTGACGACTTTTTTTAGTTACTGGTGTCGATTCTGGCATGATTCTCTAAACTTAAAACTAAAAACATCAGTTTTTTTGACGACAGCCGTGCATCGAACCAAACGAAGAACGTGTCGACCAAGCACAATGCTTGCAAATGCAATTACGGGCGTCAGAGAGGTGCGGGGCATTGCGACGGAGGGATAGTCGCGTGATGAACCGCCAATCAAAAGGCTTACCTACTTTTTAAGGTACGCGCGGGGGGCGCGCATTAAAATAAGCGCTGCGGTTTGTCGACGGTCCCAGACAACCCGAGCCAAATTAGTATATAAAACGAAATAATTGTAAGACATATTGTAGTCTGCCAGGAACAATCATCGTGTGAACAATAAGCCAGAAGAATAAGGAACTCCAAAGTAGTAAAGGAACAACCAATATTTTAAATCCATCATCTACATACAGTCCACACCAGGGATCCGAGGACTGAAGATCTTTTTCACCTTCATCATCATCATCACCACTTTCACCACCGACATCTTGGTCCTTCGAGCCGGATCCATCCGCGAAAACCAACAGTATTACTTAGTTTTACTTTTCCGCTATAACTTTCGTCTTGAACATCCTTTTTGTTTGATTGGTAAAGAAAGCTTATTCCATGCCAATGCCTTATTAATTAGAATATTAAAATAAAATATAGCAGATTCTTAGTTAGGATCCGGTTGCCTTGATGTAGAAAACCAAAATTATCTATATAGTCTCAAGTCGGAGTGTTTAACTTAACTTTAAAATATTATTCTTTATCTATATGTATACAGCTTCTACTGTTAAGTAACTTTGGTAATGTTTAAGAGATAATTTCTTTTGAAAACATTATTTCAAAAGAGAAATTGAATGAATAAATCCATTCTAATTCATTATATTATTTTACCTGACACAAGAATTTCTTGAATACAGATCTTAATATGAGAAGAGGAATGAGATGTCACTAAATCCATTATGGATTAGACCCCGGGAACTACAGAGATTGATTGATTAACTAGAAATTAAATCTTTTACTTGTTTTATTTCATTTTCTATTATTATTTGCGTCGAATTTTATTTCACGTAGATATAGCTTGGATAAAGCTATCTCAACAAACCCTGCATTCCTAGTCGTGTCAATGTGGAACTCTCCTTCTCAAAATAGGAATTACTTTTTTTTCTTCCTCTATCTGTCTATCAGATCGATTATCCTAAAGTTTCGGACACTTATTTTTTTCTTGTTGTAACATAATAAATAAAATATTATAGAGATATATTGATTTGAAATATCTCATGACGTCATATCTTGGTACAATTATTACTTAGAAGTGCCCCCACTGCAAACAATGACACGCTTTACCATCGAAATTTTTTAGTTGGTGGACAAAAGAAAAAATATGTGTTCATTATTTTTTTATAATCTTACTGACGGAATGAATAGTTTCTAGTTTAGCTCACCCTGTCATCATCCATACTACTTTTCTTAATTAGTGGTAAAATTTTATAGAAAGATCTTTTAAAACAATAAATTGTGCTTACTTTGTGTTTGATATTTGCTCTATTAGTCTGCGATTTAACCACAGTGGAGTCGTTACTGCTTCTTCGTGATGATAACACGTTAGTAGGTCCTTGCTGAAATTAAAAAAAACGGGATGATTAGTATTTTCTATGTGACAATATTATAATAAACGTTTTGAAAGAAATCACTTTTCTTTTTTTGATTACACGCATATCATGACTAACTTCACTACGGTTGCTTTTATCTAATTTCTAAAAATAAAATTAACACTTATATCAGAGTTCTAATGGAGGTAGTTCAAAAGTGGTAGTCCAAAAGTGGTAGTCGTTTTCCGGCAGCGACGAGACATATTTCATTTGAAAGCTTGTTGTTTATCCCCTATTAATTTTAAATCATGTTTAAAAATTTAACATTTTTGTAAGGATACTATCATAAGTAACGTCATATTTTTTGTGTGTTACGGTTTTTAACGTCAACGCAATCACTATGGCAAATGTCAATCAGTCCAGTCATGCATGATAGTCATAAAATCTGGGGAGCTTATTATAATATTACGCCAATCAATAATTATATAAGTTTATATAATAATAATTTTATTATTAAAAAACTGAATAAAATAAATTATAGTTTTTTGTCAATCAATTCACAATTAAATGAATTAAAATTTGGAGTCTGCCGGAGACGCACTACCACCCTACATACAAATCTGAACAGTCTCCTAAAATTTTACATTTTTAAGTGAAAATATACATTTAAGAAGTTGCGAATAAAATTGTAATTTTTTAATCAAAATATAAGTCAAAACTTGCAATTATTATTCAACAAGTTTATAGTGATTTTTATTTTTAGCGTTAAATTTAATAAGGGTCTGCCTAAGTTCCGATATCCGCTATCTCGATAAAGGACCAAGAATAGTCGACTTATCTTAAGTAAATATCTATTTAAATATTTGCAAGTTTATCGAGAGTTAATTAAAAATTCAAAAACATTAAAGTTTGCAAAAATAAATGCATAAATCAATATAAGTAAGATCCCAAGACTGCCAGACCTTATTATTTTCTAATGGACAAAATATGGATCATCATCATCATCATCATCATCACCAGCCTATTAATGTTTCCACTGATGGGGCACAGGTTTTCCCTAAAGACGGACTAGGAAGATTGGGCCATGACCAACGGCTTAACAAGGTGCCTTCCTAAGCACGGAGGAGCTCGAGATAGACGATTTTTGGTCACCCATCCAATGACCGACCACTGCGAAAGTTGCTTAACTTTAAGGATCCCAGCCGAACGCGCTAGCCACCCGCGCCATCGAGCTCCTCAAAATTAAATATGGATAATCGAGTCGTATTAGTGGGTACAATGAACGTATACATACTCGCTAACTGTGGCGCTGTGGGCCAATTTTCATGTAAATTTCAGGTGGTACAGGCACGTAAAAAATTTACTCACTTTACTTACAGTCTGGGGCTTTATTCTTACGTATGTTGTAGAGAATATTGTAAACAATTTGAAATTAATACTACCAGACACATTCTGTCCGCAGTATTTATTGCCAGACACTTGTCAAGAGAAAAAGACACAAACTTACAGTCTGAGACCTGATATTTATCTGTGATATTTAGGCTATTATTATATTTTGTAAGCTGCCAGACTAATCTTAGGGGCCAAAATTTTCCTAAGCTTATTAAAAGTGTCACTGTGAGAAAACACACGCTTATGGTTTTTAAGTGCCTTTTTAAAACAGATTCATTCAAATTATCTTATAAATATTGTAAAGGAAGCCTTTTACGATAATTTATGATTGTCTAATTATCAAAATTATTACAATATTATCCAGAATACGTAGGAATTAGAGCCCAGACTGTAAATAAGGTAAGTAAAATTTTTACGTGCCAGTGCCACCTGATGCTAAAACATTGGCCCACAGCCCAAGTTAGCGAGTATGTATACGTTTATTTACACTACATGATAAAATAAGTAAGGTCTGGCAGTCTTGGAATCTTATACTAAAAGCAACATACTATTATTAATAGAAACATTAAATCGATCAGTTAGTGAGGTAGTTAGTATTCTAATTTTAACACACAAGTTAGAACAATCCATAAAAGAGCACCGTTTTATTCAAATATTAGTTAATTACGGACACATTATGAAACATTAATACATACATATTAATAATTGATTTTAGTCAATTAGAGATCAGCGCATATCTATACAATTAGCAAAAACCATAGAGGGATAGAGTGCAGTATATTGTAGAGGATAAATATATGAAATTGAATTAATATTATATTTTTTTTTATTGATTCACGACCGATTCGATCGCATTTTGAATCTTGATTCCAATGAATGAATGCCAGTTGAATTAGAGATTACTTTTTAGATGACTCCACCTCACCTGTTATTAAGTTTAAGTGGAGACCAAATTCAAAGAGGGTACAGTCAAACCTTTGAAGAGATTAAACGTAAACAAGGTCCAAGATGATAATTATAAAAATTTCGATAGGGCTATATATTTTGTGCCAAAGATTCATTTTAGACCGGGCATAAAAGTAAATGAATACACTGCACTCCTAGCAATTTGCATTTTCTCAGAAGAATCGTATCTATTTAAATTAGGGCTGCCATTCGGCCGGATTTCCCCGGATTTTTCCTACTTTAGTTAGAGAGCGTCTAGGGACGGTTCGAATGGTGTCTTTTTTATTGTGTGAGGGGAAAGAACAGATTGTATATTTTATCTATGTGCCTATTTTATTTGTTTTGTTGTAGCTATTGTATGGTTGTAGTATACATAAATCGCAATCGAGCTGTATCGATAAAAAATACTTATAATGTAAACGAAGTTTGTATAAAAAATATTAAACCAATGTAAGTGTTTAATTTATCTTTTTAGTTTTTCCGGATATCGGAGACATGCGGTCATGTCAATCGAAATGATGGCAGCCCTAATTCAACTAAATGCCGGACGGACTAGATACAGATAGAGACAGCACTGCTTTTTCAAACTTCCTACCATAAAAATAAGGTTTGCGTTCGCTTGCTCCCGCTTTCCCAAGGTAGAACCGGATCGTGGACAAATAAATACAAGTTAGTACATATTATACAAAAAATGATAGTGTAGGTAATTGGGTTGGGTTCTTTATAAATTACAGTGTATAGAGTTAGGTTCTAGGGGATTTACAAATATACAATATAATTAATAAAATACGAAAAAGACTAATTATTTTTAAATGGATCATTTACAGAAAAACCTCGGTTGATGTTTATAATCACTATTAGATAAGTACTTTAATTTATAATTATTTTTATTTCCTTGCATTTTTACAAATACACATTATGGCTCAATTACACTTGGTCGTTAGCCCGAATACGATTGCGAATGGAAACGTAAATAAACAGAGTCGAGTACATCCATAGATCTAGGATGTATAGATAAACAGAGTACATAACTAGTGTTTTAAATTTTTTATTGTGCATGTATGCGTATCGGTGTATGATTGTGAGTGATAGTGTCGTTTTGTCAATGTATACTCAAAATACAGGATACTATCACACAAACTGAATTGTGTAAGCACAACTGTTTTCTTAGTTTCACAGAATTTTATAATAAATTTTATCACAGTACGGCTTGACAGGACGTTGTTTGCTCTTGCTGAAAATATATTATTGGACCAAAGGTACATTATGTTGCGTCTCTTTCTAACTTGTAGGATTGTGATAAGGGCATGATATCTCTTTTCCTTAATCTGTCAGTATTTAAATTCTAAGTCTATGAGTATGAGAATTCGACTAGTTTTCGTTTTGGTTATTCGACACTGTCTTTCTCAATCTATATTCCAGTGTAAATATATTGCTTCGGGTGCCCGAATTCGCATACGGGCCAACGACCAAGTGTTATTGAGCCAGAAAAATAATTTTCTTTCCAACTAATAACCATTTTTTGATCATCCAAATAAAAAAGTAAGTAAGTATCGCATTGATATTGTTAATAATAATATTTTAAATGAAATATTAAAATACATATATCATAATTTGTTAACCAAATTACGATACGTTTAAACGTTTAATTTACATAAGTAGTGACACTACGGTTAAATTACAACATAAAAGTATTTAACAAAAATCTATTGTCCATTAACTGTACAGTGTATACCTCATATTACCACAAAGTCTCAAATCTCAATAAATTGTGTTATTTAAAGAATATTAAGTCAATAAAAAACCATTTGGATAAATTGATATGTACCCCAAGCACGAACAACTAGCGAGAAAGTACTCGTATCCTCATGTCAAGTTTCTATGGAAACTAAGCAGCACCCCTACCGGGCGTAAGAACAAACTAGCTTATTTCACTTGCGGTACAGTACCCTCAGCACGAAGCGTTATCAAATTCGAATAGGGTATTTGACAAGTTTTACAAAAACGATCTCACGTTATTGACTAATGTTTATGGAGTCCGTAAAAAGTGGATATTCATCATTCTGTTGTGTATTCCAGTAAAAATAACCAAATCAAAAACTCCATTTTCAAGTTGCCGCGAAAACGTTTTTCTGGACAATATGGCGTCTTACTAGTGTGTGACGTCACACGATTGTTATTAAAACGTCAAACGATACAATGTAATGTCACTTTAACAATGATAAGAAAACTATTATCTTTTTCGTGAGTTTTTAGTAAAATTATGAAATTTTTTTTTGCAAACATAGTAAAAACCCCTATCAATATTCATTCTAAATACAGATGCTAACAATTGGCACTTTATTTTTAATACTGTCAAATACCCTATTGTTGAATTTGATCTAGATATACGTCAAATGTGTACTGATTTTTAGTTCTCGTTTCGTCCGTTTTGGCGCTGCACGCTGTTGTTCAAGTTTCCGTACACAATTTGACATTGTCATTTCGCATGCGCAAACTAAGTACTCGAATTCCATATTGGTTGGTGTTAAGGGTAGGTACCCTTAGCACAGTCTTGATTGGTAAACTAATATTGGTTTAAAGTACTAAATTCAGGGGTAAATTTACTTTTTAGAATCACCTAACAAATCTGTTGTATTACATCGAATGTAAAGGTTTGGATGTCCATATAGCCAAGTAAACATTTTTTTTAATACTCACAGAGAGCAGTGCACCGATAAGGTCTGTAGCTATAGGGTCCTCCACGCGCAGCTTCGGCTCGTCCCTCATCTGCGGCGAGTACAGCTCCGATGTTCGGAGCATGTCCATCGCCCGTTCAATGTACGCCACTGTGGTGGGTGGTGCGCCTTCTTGTGCGTTCGCTAGCAGTGCTATGACCTGCGAAAAAGAAAATAAATGTAAATAAATAACTATACTCACATTATTCGCTATATAACTTTTTCCAGTAATAAAATTTTGATGACGCGATGACGGTACTTTTACAGTGAACTTTTGTGTAAGCACCTACAAGTGTAGCGAAACTGATAAAGGACCTTATTCTGTAATGGTTCTCTAAACTTAAAACAGATGAATGAAAAGGATTGACTGTTACAGTTTGTCAAATTAAACTTTAAGTTTAGAGAATCATGTTCAGAAGTTAGGGCCAATGCCTCTGTAGAATGACGAGGACTACAAAGGCTCACCATCTTAAACTTACGTCGAGTTAATCCAATCTGAGAGGGCAGAGAGGCTTGTTATTATTAGATGCCAGTTACCTTAGTGATTGGTGCTTCTTATGGCAGCCTCTGTAGTTTGGCGAGCGAGGTGCGTCGCAACCCGTCCGAGGCTGCAGTTATTCCTGTATGAAAGGGAAAAGAGGCTTGTTGTAAATGTCAGTTGCCTAAGTGATGAGTGCTTCTAACGGCAGCCCCTGTAGTTTGGAGAGCGAGGTGCGCTGCAGCCCGTCTGAAGCTACAATTAATCCTGTTTGAGAGGGAAGACAGGTTCGCTGTTATCAGATGCTAGTTACCTTAGTGATGGGTGCTCCCAACGGCAGAGCCTATAGTTTCGCCAGTGAGGTGCGCGTCAGCCTGTCTGAAGCGAGAGAGCGCACGTCGTGTTAGTCATGTCTGAGAGTGTAGAGTGGCTAGTTTTATCAGATGACAGTTACCTTAGTGATGGTGATGACGGCAGTCCTTGTAGTTTAGCCAGCGAGCGATGTGCACTGCAGACCTTCCGAGGCTAGAGTTAATCCTGTCGGAGAGAGAACAGAGGCTCTCTATTACCAGATGTCAGTTACCTTAGTGATGGGTGCTTCTAACGGCAGCCCCTGTAGTTTGGCTAGTGAGGTACGCCGCAGCCCGTCCGAAGCGACGGAGCGTACGTCGAGCGAGCCTCGCCGGATGGAGTGCAGAGATCCTCGCCCCCGGTCTCCCTCGGGCACGTTGATAGGTTCACAGACCAAGACCATGTGAGATACGTTTCTGTAATCGAATATGTTTCAGGGTTACAAAGTTCATCCTACGATAGTAGGATGCAAACAAACTTTATAGTTTGTATATTTGTACATTCGTTCTTTATTTACGCAAAAACTACTTAACGGATTTGGATGAAATTTGGTAGCCGCCCCCATATGGGCGTAGGAGGGTACTGGTGGTTTTTAGTGGGTAGGACCGGCGTTGTTCCGCGCCGGGGAGTCCCACACACGCCGCGCACCCAACCAGCGCGCGGTATGGTGCGTAAATGCATTTTCCATCGTCAATTCTTTTATCCCGAAAAAATTTTTGGTTCCTGACGGAGCCTTAAAAAACTAAAATTAACGCGGACTATGTCGTGGGCGGTCGCTAGTAATATACACACTACATCAGTCTGTCAGAGGCAGGTATAGGTTAACACTAAGTGATATGAATTATTAAGAAACGTAGTTCATGATACATTGTCGCGCAGCAAACCTTACCTAAATAATTTTGAAGTATAAAGTACCGTCTTTATGAACATCATAATAAGCCTATTTAATCTTCCTACTGCTGGAACTCAGGCGTTCCCTATATGTAGATATAAACTACGGAGGAGTCATGAGCCATCACGCGGCGTCAATGCGTATTGGTGGTCGCTAACGATTGCAGAAGCAGCCGTGAAAAACGTCTTATTTAACTTGCCTTCCGAAGCAAGGAAACGTCAAGGTAATACATTTTTTGTGACTCTTCGGTAATACTATGATCGACTACTGTGAAAGTTGCTTAACTTCGACGATCGTAGATTTAACCTGCTTACCACTGCGAAATTGAGTTCCTCACTGTCTTTTAACCTATTAGGTAATATGTTTGTAGATTCCGTAAATTGGAGCATGAAACGTAAATTCATCTATGTGAGTGCGGGGATCTCAAATCTTCAAAGGTATTATCCATCCGGAATTGCATGAACTAATTTGCTGAGTGGCAGCCCTCAAAGTCAAATCTCCTCAAAGTTACGAATAATTTAAGTTCCTTATAAGTTAACAGGTTGAAGGTGATGGGTACATTAATACGGTGCCGAGTTACAAATAGCAAATCGTATTTAACTACAGTTTCATCCTCCAATCTCTCGTTCTATTAAAGTATTTCTTTCAATAGGAAAGTTCTTAGAAGGCTTATGATGATAACGAACTATAGTTTCATCAGGACACGATTTAACGACAAACGTTTTTTACCAAATCAGTACACAAACAAACTTAGACGTAAGTTGTATGTAACATTGCTTCATTGTCTATAGTTTATGTTTACCTTGTTTGCTGCTCGATAGCGATGGATGGCGGCGAAAGAGCTCGATGGTGCAGGTGTTAAGCGCATTCGGCCTGCGATCGTGAAAGTTAAGCAACTTTCACAATGGTCGGTCACTAGATGGGTTACCAATAACTTGTTATTTCGAGCTCCTCCGTGCTTCGGAGGGCACGTTAAGCCGTGGTCCCGGCTGCATCTGCAGAGGTTAGCACCCACCAATCCGCACTGGGCCCGCGTGGTAGGTCACGGTCCAGTCTCCCTATTCCTTCCAAAGGGAAGACCTGAGCCGCTGCAGTGAGAACATTAATGGGCTGATGATGATGATGTTTGGTGGGATGTATACATACTTAGACAAAGCGATGGCAGCGCCCCTACACGGCAGCAGTATGGGGTCAGGGGCAGTCCTCCGCCTCAACGTGATGGGTGCCTCCCACTCCCGCACCCCGCTGGTCGCCAGCCGCAGGGCTTCGCCGCCAGCAGCCTCCGTCAGCGGTCGAGGGCCTTCGTCTACGCGCCATCCTAGCGCCCGGCACCAAGATTTGTTTGTTAACTGGAATAAGAGGTACGAGGTTACTGTTTGTTTTGTCTTTCAAGCTAGAACAGGGTAGGCAAGAATAGACTAGGTCGTAAAGTGCAGCAGCTGCTTATTTCTAGAAGATAGTTTACGTCCGTAAAATAATGGATATGACAGTATCAATGACTGTCAGATAGACCAGCAGCTTGTCACTTTTGTTTTTGTTTCTAAACATATTTAATTCATAACTTAAAATATGCCATATTCTCTGAGCACTAACTCACATTTCTTTGTAAAGGCGACATTGTCAGTGAGGAGTGGTTATGATTACGAGAATGAAATTTTTACTGAGGTCCTATGTATGTTTCATCGTGTCGAAAATTTATTGTTTTGGTTTGAGAGAAATTAATAATCCCGTATGTTTATTTATCTTACTAAAGTTGCTATCTTTACAACGAATACGAACATGGGAAAATGAAATGTATATAAAAATTGTAATGTAGGGTCGGTCATAATCAAAGGGTTGGTCGTAGATATTAATTCAATTATATTAAAAGTTTAGAAAAACCCTTTTACCTTAATTTTTTATCCATTATAGTCACGTTATTAAAAATAACAATTATGAAATTGGTTCCTGTTTTTGGAATCTAGGCCGAGGCCTTGTTTTAATCATAGTAAAACAACAATTAATCGAAGTGCTTGCTTTCGTGTGTACTGAAATGTTAATATGAAAATTGCTCATTTATTAGATTTATTTGAAGATAGTTAAGTATGTACCAGGGTTGTGGCAGGTGCAAACATTTTGATATTGGTGGATGCGGAAACTGATGCAGATTATTAATGATACTCATAAGCGGATGCGGATTTCAGGATATTATAAAGAAATTTCAATTTGAAGGTTATTTATTATTGTGAATTGGTTTAATTTTAATGTTTGTTTAATCATATTAATTTTTAAACAAAACTAAAACAGTTTCAGTCTTACTTAGTAGGTATCATTTTGCACGTGCCACTCTGGCTCGGCCCACTTTCTTTGGATTTTGTTTTATAGATAGGTCCGACAAATGACTCCACCCCACCTAATGTTAAGTGAAGGTGAAGTCCAGACGCTGAATACAGATATTGGAAATAAGATCCCACATAACTTTCCCTTAAATTAAGTGTTGTGTAAGGTAGCGGATAATTTAATAGATAGTCGTCGCTGTGCGCCTACAGTCTCCATTGGTGCTGTGCGTTTACCAGTATGCGCTGCGTGTCGTTGGTAACGGCCACCAGGTCGCAGCAGCAGTCCACGGAGGCGGCCAGCGCCGCGATCGCCCCTACAGTGTCTAGTGGAGGTGCTGTGTGGTTACCAGTATCCGCTGCGTGTCGTCGTTGATGACCACCAGGTCTCGGCAGCGATCGGCAGCGGCGGCCAGCGCTGCGATCGCCCCTACAGTCTGTAGTGGAGGTACCGTGTGGTTACCAGTATCCGTTGCGTGTCGTCGGTGACGGCCATCAGGTCGCGGCAGCGGTCGGCTGTAGTGGCCAGTGCTGCGAGCACCCCTACAGTCTCCAAGGGAGGTGTTGTGTGGTTACCAGTATCCGCTGTGTATCGTCGGTGACGGCCACCAAGTCGCGGCAGCGGTCGGCAGCAGCGGCCAGCGCTGCGATTGCGGCGAGATGCGCGCGCGCACTCGTCGCCGCCGTGCGAGCTTGGAGCATTTCAGCACACCACGCGGTCGCCCCTACTGTCTCTACCATTACCTGAACAAAATGATTGATATGGTTAATTAAATCTTTCTACAGTAATTAGGCATTTTAATGAATGTAGGTATTGGTTGAAATTGAGGCACTTAAAAGTGAAAGAGACAGGTACCTATTTCTGTAGTCAAAGATAAGTACACGTAGTTTATGGAACTGGGAATCATGATTTCGTAGTTCGTAGTCACAAATTAATGAAAATTTTAATATTTAGCACTATTAGGAAATAGACCTCTGGGTGTATTGACCAGACCAGTATCATTACTGATCAATAAAAAGAACCACTTCACACTTAGCTATTGCGGAGCTTTTATCGATTCTAATGACGAAATAAGACAACCCGTTTGCGGTCTTTAATCTTTTCTCTCGTCTGAGCACGGTTGATTGAGCTAGAAGCAGAGTACCTCGTTAGTCGATCAAATGTCGACCCATGTCTGGCTGCCCGGCGCGGTTCTGATTATGTTCACGAAATTTGCGTCGTATCGTCGGGAAACCAATTACGAATGCTTCACGGGATGGTTCATTAAAATTCGAAATCAAATTTGATGAAAAACTTTTACGACCCCGGCCGCGGCCGCGGGCGGCGTCTGTCTGTGAGACACTTAATATTGAATGTAGATCGTCAATGGCTGTATTTCATGCAAGATTGTTAAACCTATTCTCTTACACTCTTACTCTCATCCTTTAAACCTTTTATTTATTTTCTGTTTCGTTTCGTTTCCTTTCCTTTCCTCTTCCTTTCGCCGCACACTATTATTAAACCGTCCTCTCCTCTCCCTGTCTTTCCCACCCATTCAACCTCCCTGGTTGCATCTCGACGCGGCCTCGGATTCTGATGGGCCTACTCTACCAACTATCAAATCCTGTCACAATTATGTTATATTCATCAACCTAAAATGTAATAAATAAATAAGTGTTTTTAAAAAAAATAATGTCCTCTCTTAAATAATAAAAAAAATCTTAACGCCGATTTCTCCAATTTTCTTTGCAGCTTTCTTATTTTTCCGTTAGTCACATACGTTATCCAAACGCACACTAACTTGTTGAATAAAACATAAATAATTCGAATCATCCTCATGCAAAATCCTTAGAATATCGTAAACAATCAAAATATTAATGTATTATTATAAACTTTATTTAGGTGCCTACTTTTGCTAAGTTAACTATAAAGCCTACTTTATGGTCCGTACTCACATACTGTATAACTCGATAGTTTTACTCTAAAGCGAGTAACAATCAACGTGTGGACCGCAAAATTCACGACTCGAAGGCGCATGCGTAGTACGCGACGCGTTGATTTCTATTTTCAGGTAGTAAAAAAAAAAAATATACAGCGAGTTTTCTCTTCTAAGTACCTACAAACTTTCTTTTACATATATTCAATATCGTTTATTCAGTCTAGGCTGGTACAAGCACCTGTGAAATTCGAAAAGCTACGCCATCGGTTCGTAAATCTACGGCGGGAGACCTTGTGCTGAGAAGAACCGGCAAGAAACTCAGCAAGGGCTGTTTTTCTCTCCCTGTATTATATACAGAGTCTTCAAAATGAAACATTACTTCAATATGAAATAACTCATGAAGTCATGTACAGTGTAATGGAAAGTCATTACAATTACCTACAAATATGAATTATACACATGAAGAACATGAACTGTATAGTTTGTATAATGTTTGTAACTTGATATTATAATTATAGAAGGTTCGCTTGTGCGGGCGTAATTATTACGTGTTTAAATTTCCTAATTATCAAGCCTGTGGTTTAGTATTTCGAGTATAATATGCTGTTATTTGATTTTATGGCTTATTATAGAGATACTTATGTTATAATTGAGTGTCTAATAAGCTATACATATTTAAGCGAACATTGATTACCTAAATATCAAATATATAAATTCTTGTTGAGGAATCCTTTAATAAATTAAATTATAATTGGTTTATAATCCTTTCAAGTGTCAAAAAATAAATTAATATGAATACATTAGGCTGGAAATATTTTTGTGTCTGCTATGTTTTTGTATTTGCAGTTAGTTAATGATGATGTATGAATCATCATCATACATCATGATTAATAAAGAGAGGGTTTTTTATGCTTGCCACAGATAATTATGACACATTACCTAAATTCACAATGAACCTAAATTAGAATTAACACCAGAAAATTAAACGGATTTTGTGCAATACCGTGGGCTCGTATTTTCCACCGTTTATGATTTGGTAATATTCCAGGATAATAATAAAAAAGGGCAGAGTGGTTTTTAGACGGGATACTATTTAATTGTAGAAGTCAAACAATGCTGAATAAATGCTTTGCCCGCTCTCGTGCTCTCTCTCGCTCCTGAAACCCTTTTTAAGAGAGTTCTTTAAAAGAGGCATGCTTATTGGCAAGCAAGGTTTTTTTATAAAGAAAGGGTGGCAAACAAGAAAGAAAAGAAAGAAAAATCATTTATTGGCTTTAACACACAAGTATGTAACAATAAGAAATTATATACCGATAAAAAATTAAAACAAACAGAGAACAACAATGTGCAGAAAGAACAAAGGCCAATCAGGACCCTGCCTCAGCTTAATGCTGTTACAATGGGACAGGAATATTCCCACCGTAACAGCGCTGGAATTCTGGCAGGGCCTGTACGAGATGAGACGACAAGCATATGGCCCGCCTGATGGTAGGCGGCAACCAAAGCCTATAGACGCTTGCAGTCAACGATATAAAATACCCTAGATACACTACGAGCGCTCAAAATGTGTCCAAATCAAGAAGTGCTTGAACTCCACTCCGGTCCGCGCGTGACTGTGAACCAAGAAGTGCTTTTTGGTTCACAGCCACGCGCGGACCGTTACAAAATCAAGATGCCACAGAGCTCCGCGAAAAAATGCAAAAATAATACTTAAGAGTACGAAAAGTGTCGTTTTTTCGACAGGTATCTAGTCAATGTTTGTTAATTTTATTCATTTGAAGTCAATTTTGATCTAATACTTACTATAAACTGATTTAATATAAAAAAAATGTGATATTCAAATGCATGGTCGGTTATACGTCGACATATAGCCGTCTCTTTTCCTCGCGGTCCGTGCCTGCTATATTGCTATCAGTGCGTTCAGAATTGCGCGTAGGGTCAAAGAACTAAGGTCTAAATTCTTGCGTATATAGCAATAAGTCGTAAAATTTTACGAGCTTGCATTTCGAACTGTTAGAAGTCATTGACGCATGCGTTTTATTTAAGACCTTATACAGTATGTATTAAAGGTTACTTTCAATATTTAAATAATGCCTTATATTAATTTTGACTACGCGATCATCTTACGGAGCTCCGTGGATCGTTCAATGTACCTTTTGGACAGGTTTCGGGCACGATTTTGTTCGTGTTGGTGTATCTAGGGTATTTAATATCGTTGCTTGCTGCACCAAAGCTATCAATCTCGCCGTTGCCTACCCTGACCCAATCACCTACCCCGTGGAGACTTGGTAACTTACTCACCGACAGAAACATTACACCACAGAAAGGTAGTATTTACATATTTTACTGAGGTCTTCTGTAAGGTGGAGGTTAAAGTGAGGGTGACACAAAGTGCTACACCAGCTTAATTCACATGTGGACGCCACTGCCACTTAAAGTCAGGCGGGCTGGAGTCTTTCGATTGGATCTACTAGGTATACATAAACTTTGTTGGCCCCATCTCCTTTAATATTTAGTAACGAACTGTTAACGCTTTCGCATCCATTGGAAATGTTGCTGATATAAGGATATCTATATTGCCTAAGTTTAATATTATGTATAGATATAGTTAACATACCCTGTTGAAACCCGCTTCTAGGTAAGGCAACACCGCGAAATCATCTTTCAGGTAAGCGCTGAAACAAACACACGATATTAGATTACTCACTTCGAAATCCAATTATCTTGTTTTGTACATTTAGGTGAGTACGACGCAGCTTTTATAAGTACAACGAAAAGGTGCTCACAAAATAATATCTCAAAAAAATTTCATTAGTCACCTCCAGTATCTTACCAGAAGGAAAACTGTTTTGCCAGATCAAATTGTCAGGTTTTTAATATTAAAAGACGTATTTAAAAAACATAAATTAAATCACTCAAGTATCTAAAGATATTAATTGTTTAAAGAATGTGCGTGTTTGATAGAGCGTAGTTAGACTTTACTTATACTTAAAATCCTGAAAAGAGTCACTATACTCAAAATGAAATCCTAATTATTCAATACTGTTTCAGTCAACTTCGTCTATAATATGTGTAGACAATGTTAAATATATATTGCCCGTGCCCCCCCCCCCCTCGTCTGTGTGAAAATATGTCGTTTCCCGGAACTTAAGCTCTATACACGTAATTTTATTTAAATTGGTACAGAAAGACTAACAGACACATTTTCGCATGTATAATATTATTATGGATACTGCAGTGAAAGGGCAATCCTTTAAATTTATAATTAGTAGGATAGTAAAGTCATTATTAGAACTTTCATAAAGAACGTTTTACCATAAGGTGAACTGAAATGCTATTGTGAGGCATAGTTCCGATGAAAATGCTTTACTGCTGAGTTGAAAAGCTACCAATTGGCTTTTGTCTGAAACGCATCAAAGCGGTCGATGCATCGACGTTACACCTATTGCTGAACACAATGACATTCTATATAGAATGACATTGGCTGAACAGCTATTGTTGTTAACGGAGAGCTAATTGAATTGAAACTGTACCGTTTTAATCTCACTGCAAAGAAAAGTAAGGCAAATATTAAAGCACTTAAATTAGCAATGTGTGTATTTTCAGCCGACGAAAGAAAACGAAAAGTTTATTATTTTTTAGCTTCTTCGGCAGTTTTTATTTTTATAAAAGCTTTATATTTTATATTTTTCTTGGCTTTAATTTTTGTAATATTCAACTCAGCATTAAAATCTGGCACCGGCCGCCAATGCCAACCCAAGTAGTAAATGGGAACTCTGATCTGTCAGACATGCAAGGCACCGACTCCAAATGTTAATGTGACTAAAGATAAAAAAGGTTTAGTATTTTATGCTTTTTAGTTTTTTCGGCCGTTGAATTTTTTAACCGTTCAGCTTTTTAAAAAATATATTAAAAAGTAGATAGACTTTTTAATATTTTTTTGAAATAAGGGATTTTGATGAAATTTGGTACGCAAATAGTATATGATTTGGATAGAGACATAGTTAAGATGCATTATATGCCGCGAAAATTACAGATTCCCTTGGGATTCTCAAAAATCTGAAGTTGAAGCAGACGAAGCCGCGTGCGGCCGCTAGTATGAAATATAAAGTTTTTTTTACAATTTAGGAAAAAGATAAATTGATAGAAAGAAAGTAAGGGGACGTATCGAATTAATTATTGCGAATATTAAAAATCCTCAAATATTTGTTACGTTTTCAATTTAAGCCTAATCGACGAAAGCTATGTATGCTCTAAGATTTTGATTCATTGTGTGGGAAACTTATAGAGGAACAATACGCAATTTTTTCTTGTGAATCTCATAGTGTAGTGAATCTCAAAATGAAGATTGTCTTAAATACATCAGAAGGAGTTACTTAATGATGATATAGAACAATAATATAATCTGGCTGGTTTCTTAATAATCAATACGAAAGTGAACATTTTCATGAAATAGGAGAAAAAATTGTTGTATTAGTATATATATAATTCTTTTGATTTTACTTAAAAAAATGCATAAAATAGGCCCTGTATGATATGAACCGTTAACGAAATTTTGATGTTTTCTTACCTACTACTTCGGAAGATGTTATAATAAGTATGTTTTAGGTTTAAGATTCTAATAACGGTCAATTCGAATCAAGTATCGGTAACAAATCCAAAAAAAGTCTGTGTTCGGTACTCATAGAATTTATACAGTACAACGTTTCGGTCAACTAAACATGGCGATTAAAAGCATTTTAAGAACCGCTGTCCATCCTTTTAATCTGATCAAATGGAAAAAGGACCCTCGCGGGCCCACAACAGGACGGCTTTAGCGGAATGACCGCTGATTGAATCGCTTCATTGATCCGAGTAACATCACTCAATGGTCGAACCAAATTGAGTTAGTGATTTAACCGAGCACGTTTTAAATTTTGGAAAACCTCGTTTGTTTTTCATTTTGATATTGTACGTGTAATTCAGGTTTGCATATTTTATTTAAAAATATTCTAATGCTTCTTCCATACCCGCGCGACGACGCTTGGTAAGAAATGCGCTAAAATTTAGTTTTATCCTGATGAATTATCGAGCTGCGTGTCCAAAGACGCTTGACTGGCGATTTGGCGATGAAACTGCCTAATTCAAATTTCGAATGCTAGTTTTAGCGCATTTTAGGACCTATCAAAGCTTCGGCATGCAGGTGTGGGAGGAGCATTAGGGCAATTTAAAAAAATACTAAGAACTGCCCTATAATTTTCAAGTTTGTTGCTGTTGCTATTTTATTGCATGGAGTTTAATACTCTAGTTTTCAGCCTGAATTTCTCTCATTTCAATGTCACCCGAGTTGGGATTCGTCAAAGATAAGGGTCGCCACAATGTATGTCCCTATGGACGCGCTGTTGTCCTCGGGATAAGATCTCAATTCAGACCGCTGATGGAACCCGCCAGACAATGACAATGCTATCTAGGCGTCCCTTACTTTACTGAGAACCTACTGTCTCGGGAGGAGACTAGGTTTTTTGAACTCTGATTTTCATATGTTACAAAATTAATGGCAAAGGGTATTTACTTCAACAATATTAAGAAAAAACATTTGGTAAATTGTAGGTAGGTAGGGTGGGTACCTACCTACAATTTACCAAATGTTTTTCTGTGTGAGCGGTGTGTTGGGTATTCTATCAACATGAAAAAAAAACATGTTTTTATATTAAGTTTTTCTTTGATTTACCTAAGTGCATTTTTAGTAGCTTTCATGAATGTAAGCTCTGAGCTCTTTTGATGGTTGAAATTGTTAATGTTGTCCACTTTTTTAATTTAACTTTTTTATATGATTTGATGGTTTTTATTACGATTAATATTTTTGTTCCATTAAAACGATCATTAGAACATATTAGATACCTACCTCAGTTACTGTTAAAGTATATAAGTATATCAACCATATTTTTTGTGTTCTCATACACTACTGCAGTCCTATTCTGTAAGAATAAACTCACTTTTCACCGCGGAATTCTCGGTGGTATTTAGTATTTTACTTATAACACTTATTTATTTATTACATTTTAAGTTGATGATGGGTTATGTTATATTGTGATGTAGAGGATTTGATAGATGGTAGAGTAGGCCCATCAGAATCCGAGGCCGCGTCGAGATGCAGCCAGGGAGAGGAGAGGACGGTTTAATAATAGTGAAAGGCGAAAGGAAGAGAAGAGCAAAGGAAACGAAACAGAAAAAAAAAGGTTGAAAGGATGGGAGTACGAAGAGTGTAAGAGATGAGGTTTAACAATCTTGCATGAAATACAGCCATTGGCGAAATTGCAATATTAAGTGTCTCACAGACAGACGCCGCCCTGGTATTTAGTATTTGTATTCTTATTTCAAATCATACGTGGATTCCGCAGTGAAAAGTGAGTTTGTTCTACCGAATAGCGCGGCTGATGTCCTCACCAGTAAAAGATTTCGGTTACAATTACTATGCCACTCATACGAACGAAGGGCCTTCGCCCTTGGGCTGAGATGGCCATTATTTATTCAGGGTACGTTTAGGTTAACTAAAGACACTACGCTAAGTAAATGTTAATTCAATATATATTTGTGCCAGGAAAGAAAATAGTGTTGATTTACCGAGGACAGAGTAAAATTAAGATATCATTGAATACGGCGATTGCTACAATGATTATTGTAACTATTTCTTTCTTAGGTTTTCACGCACATCACTCATTAAATAAAACAAGTTTCAACGGGTTGAAAAATTCGAACACTCAATAAAAGTCTTTCGAAGGTAGCTCGGCAAAGTAAATAAAAAATCATTATTCTGACGACGCATTCGTGCAAACGGTGCGAAACGTCAATAAATAAATAAAATAAGTGCATCTTACCCTTTGAAACTTGTTTTATTTATTGTAACTACATATTTTAATTTTCCAACTGAGACTTCTTACTTCTAAGATTTTTTTTTCTTTTATAGGAGAATTTTGTTAAGCAAATGGGATGAATGATATTTTTCTACAAAATTAATGGCAAAGGGTATCCATTATATATTACGTAGTACCTACACATAAAAAATCGAGCGAGCCTTACAGTAGTCGCGTATGATGTGTAACATTTGAAACCTCACATTATGTTAGTAAAAAAGGAAGTAAAACTTACCGCAAAAGGAATAAGCCATTTGAACATTATGTTCTAAAATCAAATCATATAGCGCGCGCTTTCGCGACTTCCTGTTACACGCTTTCGTCCCATTTCACGAAATCACTCCCACGAATTGCAGGAAAGCGAGAGGAAGGATGTTACACATCAATAACGGTAGGTTATGTTATAAACATTTATGTTTTCTTTAAAATATTTGCAGAACTTTAATTATAGCAACGCTTAGGCCCTACATAGTTTTGGTGGACTTTAAAAACAGTGTGCTAACTAAAAGATACAGTACAAAGCGACCGGGCGATGGACGCTTTTTGTAGGCAGCGTGACGGCGGCGGCGGACTGGTTGAAATACGTGGTAATTCCAGCGCCGAGCGTAAACTGTTTTATTTTAAAATAAAAACGCAACGAAAGGTTGGCAGTTCTATGATAACCTTTTACTTTAGTTAGGCTTCTAATTGATTACTCTTTGGCTTTACATTTTTAGGGTTTCGAGTAAACAAGATATTAGTTTCTCTATGTTTGTCTGTCCGTTGGTCCACAGCTGTATAGT